TATATATATGAATGGCTAATGAATGAATGGTTTAAATACCGTATATTTCAGGTTTTATTAACCAGTATTGTGCTTTTTTTTTTCTTTTTACCAGAACTGTCATCATGATACAGTATTCTAACTCTACCAGAATTGTTTACTCCGTGCAAAAGTGATAAAATAAAAAACATAATACTTTTTGAAATTCTATTTTAAAGTTTTATGCCACCGGTAAAATCGGCCTTTTTACATTTCATTTATAGTCTACAGTTTTTCTTTGTTCAGTATTATTCATTGAGCTCTTTCTTAAATGGGCGATAGAGATTTTAATGAGTTGGGCACATTTTCGTCATTATTGGGAGACTTTTGACTGTAATATCGACGAAATATATCAATTTAATGACATATTATTTAGACTAATTAATAATAAAATATTTTTGTTTATAACTTATATCAGCTTTTATATCTATTAAATGTTTTTTTTTACTGACAAAATTGAAGGTTTTCTTTAAAAAAATTCGCATTTTACGAGATTTCATTCAAAATCTACATTTATTTGCTATTATTTTCTATTCTATTGTATTATCTACATATTTATTTAAATATATAACAATTAGTTTGCAAATTGCACACAGCTTAAAAAACGTCACGGTACAGCAACTTATAATGTGAAACTTATGCAGATACAAATCAAATTTCTTTAAAAAACTAAATTTTCGAAAAATAAAATTTAAAAAGTTCAAAAATACGCTAGTTATAGAATCGTCTACGCACGAAACTATGTCCTAAATTTAATTTCTAATACTATCTTCAACTGATTAATTTATAGCAAACTAACGCAGCAAAGAAAAATTATTTACAACGATAGCTGGTAATTTATTTTATAACAATAGCTTTTAAAGTAGTATAAAATTTGAAAACTAAAACTATCCATTAAAGATTAAAAATACATGGCGAAGTAAAGAAACATTAATAAATAATATATGACTGCTATTATCAATCATTAATTTTCTTTTATTTGTTGTTACAAAAAAATATAATAATAAAATAACGTTGAAACCATTTCATGAGAAAGTAATTTAAATAAAATAAATTTTTAATTTCTTTTATGCAACACAAGTTATTAAAAAAGAATCGGAAAATATGGAGGCGTCTTGTAATTTCATATTATATTAATGGCATTTGACATTTATAATACAGCGACTTTCAAAGCTAAGTGAGAATAGATTAAGGATTCTTTGAATTCTCGATTTGCGTCTTAGGAATCAATAAAATACTACGCAAAAATACTGGTGAAAAGCTTTTCGATAATCAGAAGAATTGATCGTTGAATTTATTTATGTCTCATGTTTTGTTTCGTTATTGACGTGTTAAGATTTGCTCGTTGAATTTAAAACATTCAACTCAAATATAACTTTTTTTTTAGTTATTCGATTGTAATATATGTGCTATATATTTCAAACTAAAAACACTTTGCCATTAAAGATCTGCCATTGATTATCGAAAACTATAAAATATCGATTATGGAAATTGAGATAAAGACTCATTAAAAACTAAAAAAATTACATTTTAAAATTAATTATAAAAAGGTACTTTTGAATGCATTTAAAAAAAACTGCAATATTGACGGGGTTTCTTTAGTTTCTAGATTGTAAAATTTTCTTATTCTATATTTCAAAATAAATAAAACTTAGTTGTAAACGATCTACAGTTGGTAATCGATTACAATAAAATCTTAATTATAAAATTAACATGAAATGAGATGATTATCTGTATTAAAACTAATTCATAAAAAACTAAGGAATTAACATTTTAAAATTTGAATAATAAAAATATAACTTTGAATGTGCATTTTAAAACCGCAACAATATTGATGTTTGCTTGTTTGTTTTTTTCAAAATTTATGTATTGAAAAAGTTATACAATATTTCAAAATAAATAAAACTTAGTCATAAACGATCTGCAGTAGGTAACCGATTACAATAAAATCTCGATTATTAAGGTTAATGTAAAATGAGATGATTATCTGTAACAAGACTAATTAATAAAAAACTAAGGAATTAACATTTTGAAATTTGCATTATAAAAAAATACCTTTGAATGCGTTTTAAAAACGCAACAATATTGATGGGGTTTTTTTTAAATTTATAGATTGAAAAATTTATACAATATTTCAAAATAAATAACACTTATCCATAAAAGATTTGTAATAGACAATCGGAAACAATAAAATATCGATTCTTGAAACGTTTCCACTTTTGTTGCTTTATTCCTGTAATTAGACCAATTTATTGAAAAGCTAAAAAATGAATATTATAAAATTCAAATTATATAAATGTGTTTTTGAATACATTTTTAAAAAGCTATAATATTGATTTAATAAATATTCTGCATAAAAATCGTATCATATTCTCTTATAAAGGAATATTATTTTCAATTCAACTATATGAAGCTGTCGCAAGTCGACTTTCAATAATTGGATACTATACGCTTTTTATTCTGGTTTGTGAAGGTGGAACCTTGTTATCATAATTCGGAGCATTTCCCAACTAGCTAGAGTACTCGAATTTCCTTTAGAACTCTGCTGCCATATTTAATTAAAATTTACTGGCATCAAAAATTGTTTGGTGATTACTTGAGAGCGAAAAAAGTACCAATATTAGTTCGTTCGCAAAAAATAAAAATAAAAATTTCAGTGCCATTACTAATTATTTTCAAGAAATACAATTAATTAATTTAGATAATAGGTATAATTTTTAAAAAAAATTATGTTTTGTATTAAAAGCTAAATTAATTGAGAATATATGTAAGATAATATATAAGAATAAGAGAACCGTAAAAAATTGTCATATTGATATTAACGCCAATGATGCTTAATTAACTTTGGTATTAGGAACAAATTGAAGTGAAAAAATAAGCTTTTAGATAAAAAAAAAATATAACTTATTCAACTAGAAAAACCCTAAATATATATATATATATATANCAAGAACAGCATATATATATATATATATATATTTCAAAATTCACGCGCGAGCCTTAAAAAAAGTAGAGATTGTTTTAAAAGGAATAGGAGTTGTTGCTTAAACTAGCGTAATAAGTTTCTCGCCAATCCTGAAAATTCTGCTAAATTCAAACAAAGATCCAGAACCTTAGCAACGGCGTTGGTTGTTAGCAACGAAAACTTTTTTTATGCCTTGCTGCTCAACATTCTTCTTCGAATAACTCAATTTCTTTCAATTCTGTCACATTTCATCCTTAACCGCAATCTTTTTTGCATATCTGTTGCGCGATGAATGCTTTCTACAAATCAGAAAAAAATATGCGTTTGTTAAAATAAAATAAAAAAGTTTGAAATAAAAATAGTCTTGCTCCTTATTTTTTGAAGTGTTTTTTTATATTTTATTAGAATTTTTTTTTTGAAAATTATAAAATTAAATAAAAATTTTGAAATCTTCGTGAATGAAAAAAAAAATTTTTTTTTTCATCAGGCCGAAAACGAAAACATTAGGGTGCATCACAGACGAAATCTGTAGGGGAAACTTTCAATGGTGATAATAGAACTAAACTTACGAAAGTGCTGAAGACGTTTTTTGTTGTTTTTATTGTTTTTTAGGTCTGACAAATCTAATGCATTTTCTATTTTCTTAAACAGCGCAGTTTTTTAAAATTTTTATAGTATTTCATTATTTTTTAACTTGCACATTCAATAACATTGTTTACGTAAAAAAGAGAACGAAATTTTGATTGTTGATGAAATTTTCTTTTGCCATTTCGAAAACAATAACTTGCTTTGATATCAGACAAAGTTTTAGTTGCAATTTAAACTTTCTTAGCTAATTGAAAGGGGTCGAAATTTGGATTAATATTTGATTTATAAAATCTATTTGACTATAAAAAGGACATATGAATTCTACTTCGGGTCGAGAAAAGATTGAAACTTGTATTGACATCAGACACAGAGCTCCAATGGAAATTCGAACTCTCTAGTTAGTCAGGATATGATCGGAATTTTGATAGCAAAATTCCAACCCCACAGATAAGAAAACAACTTAATAAAAACACAAGATGTGCGAGAGAAATACTCTTAGCAGAGCACATTGTCACGTAACTCATAAAAGTTGAGAGATGTCAACTAGAAAGAATTTTTCTAACACATTTCAATAATGCAATTTTTATGTAATACATTACAAAATTATTTTTTTCTAATAGATTTCAAAAGTGTTTTTTTTTAAGTAATTATAATGAGTTATTTATTGTTTTAAGAGAGAAGCGTAATTTTAATTCTTTTTCGAAGGCGGATATGCATTTTTTTGTCATTTAACACTTTGTATTAATAATGCAAACATGAGTAGGCAACCATCGGCTAAGTCATCTTATAGTTTATCTTGTTACAAAATTTCCGTCATTTTTATGGTAGTGCAGCGTAAGAATGCCTTTTCTGTAGAACATGTATCAATCCTATACCATAATTTTCCATAATTCATAAATATTGAAATTTCTGTTCCATGAAGTCAAAAGCTATTGTACTTGATTTCATTTTTTTTTCTTACACTGGGTAAGGAAAACTCCTAATTCAGTCAGTTACCTGAAGGCCAAAACAATCAACTATAGATACTTATTTTAATTCAAAATTCTTGCTCAAAATAAAATAAAAAGCGGTAAATTTGTCTATGTCATCATTTAGTCTTTTTTATAGAAATTTTAACATTAATTATTTTTACATGCTTGTAATAAAGAGCTCATTATAACGGTGATTCTATTAGTTATTGTCAATTGTCGTTACTGTATTAACGTATGGAAAATAATATGTGAGATTTTAAACTATTTAGTAGAAAATAATGTCACCAGTCACAATTCTATATATANCTTTAATACATTAGGCTATATATATATATATATATATATCCCAAAACACCAAGGGAGGAGAGAGAAAATAATTTATTTATTTTTTCACCCGAATTAAGAAGCATCATCTAGACAAAATAAAGTTTATCAAGATAATATCAAAGCATTCAAATTAACTGGTCACGATTAAGATGCTATAAAATCAAATACGTTGAAGCAAAACTGAGAAAAGTTTTAGTGCTCCTAAACATTCCTATTCTTTAAGCAACCAATTGTTTTCACAGGGAAATTTTTTATTTTAAACATAGCACGCCATCGGAGACTGAACTTAAAACAATGTCACGAACATGGGAACATTGATTCCCTTTAAAAACATACTTTGTAAATTGCAAACACAACTAAACTTACATTCACAAATTGTAGTTAGTTTTGCCTCCCTACACTCATTTATTTAGACCAATTATATATATGCATATATATATATATGTGTTAAAATTATAAATAAATATCTATCTATCTATGTATATATATACGAGTATGTTTTTCATCGAATATCTCACTGTACCCTATAAAAAGGGGGATTCTAAGATTTGAAAAGTTTCAGCTCAATAAAATAATATTTTAACCCAGTCCCCAAGCTACAAACTTTAAAAAACACGATTTCTCTCAAAAGGAAAAAAAAACTCTCAAAAGGAAAAAAAAACAATTTGTGCAATAAAATGCAAACGTGTGGTTGTAGAAACAAAAATTTGAAATTATGTTTAAACTTCTAACGATCGAAGGGTTTTTTAGTCACATGATGAACATGAAATGGGTAAATATAGGAAGCTAGACAAATTGTTACTCTTTCATAACCTTAAACTCATTGATTCTCCAAATTTTTTTTTTTTAAATTTTTAAAATGTCTGACAACATAATGAAACCTTTATCACTACTTCTTAAATTTTTCCCTTTTGTGGTCAGCGTTTTTAGCCCTTCATGTTGAATTTTATTCATCATAAGAGAAATTTATCTGTTTTCATTTTCAAGACAAACCTATCTCGAGTGGTTTTTCTTTTTTTGCATAATACTTTTAATTTTCCTAAGGTTGGCGACTTTTTCTACTTTACCAGGATCAAGTGATCTGGGTTTGAATCCCAGTGATGGCTGGTAGTTACAAATTCCGCACCCAGCTTACACAGTCCAAAGCGCAGAAGTAAAATATCCTCAGTGGTAAACGGATCATGGAGTTAGAGTCCCCTTACCGTCAGGCTACCGGTGGGAAGTTTTCATGGTTTTCCTTTCCATGTAATGGAAATAAGGGTTAGTTCCATCAAAAAGTCCTCCATGAAAGCAAATTTCTCCCAAAACTTGATCCAGGAGTTCCCTTGTCTTCTGAATTCGGTTCAAAATTACAAGGAAAATTAATTGAACATTGGTAGTGGTAAACCTAAAATTGGGTCAGCCGTTCAAAGACGGTTAAAAAATAAAATAAATGATAGAGGGTAATGATGTTTCACAAGTTTTTAACATTTTTTACATCTGAATAACGCTTGATCTAATGATCGGATTTTTGTGCACCAAGTATCTTTGTAGTTCAAGGACAAAATCTTAAATATGCCTATTAATTAGTACAAATGATATTTAGAGTCACAAAATGAAATACAGAAACAAACCTTTCTCTTACTAAACCTACATCTTTTTCAATGGAATTTGATTTTTGACAATCAAAATGACAGAATCAAGAAAATACTGTCCCTTTTTTGTGTCTTAATTTCATAGCTTAAAATATCATATGAAATAATTAATTAACGTATCTAAGATTAGGTCCTCAAACCATTAAGATCTAGTCCTAATATGTAAAATTCCGATCATTAGATCAAATGTTATTTAGAATGTTCACGATTTTTTATTTTTCACTCTGTACAAAAATAAACATTTTTAAGATCCATTACTTTGATTGATAATATTATGGATTTTGACTAACGATTGATTGCATTATTGTGAGTTCTTATTAGTATTACTTTATTGTGCAGTGCACAGTTGCCCTTTTATCAAGAGCTCAATTGAACCTGATGTAAGTATTGCCACAGTTTAGTAATATTTATTTTACAACTTATTTTAATCAGATATGTATTTCATAATATGAATTGGATTCAGAATCCTTTATCAGTGTCTTATTTATAGAGTTCCCAACAACTAATCAAAAGTGACTACTTGATTAAATAGACTTGAGACACTTTTGTGTCTCAAAAAATGAAAACCTTAAAAATGATGAATAAAAAAATGTAAAACAAATATAAAACATATTGAAAATATCTGAAAAGAACCTAAAGAATTTAAAATAAAATTTTTATTTGATCTTTTTTTCTCTGTTGGGTTAATGTAAAATGTGTAATAGTATGTAAATTATAATTTGAAGTAGCTTGTGTGTATGTGTTGTATTTTTAAACAGTTTTCTCTAAATTTTAATCCTTATTACTAAGTTTCAATAAATATTAACGTATTTCCGTTCTCCTAGTTATGTTTTTACTTAATTATTATATCAAATTAGTTAAAGGCATTGGATATATCAATTAGCACATCCTTCCCTAAGTTCCTTTTATTGGACTATTTTCTTGATTTTAAGGAGTTGCTACTTTACCCAGGTTTCACTGTATTTAATTTATGATTCCCTTAGTAAGCAATAATGCAGAGATGGTGTAATTCCATATTAAGAAGTTTATTATTACATTTATAAAAAAAAAGATAATTTTTTTGTTAAAAAAATTAACATACTAAGTCGGCAATCTTATACAAAATGATTAAAATATTTATTGAAAATAAAGTTGAATTAAATAAAATACATACGTTTAATCAACATAATTTTATCTATATATCTGGAATGTATAACACAACATTTGGTGAACATAGAAAGACTTGAGTAAGAATAATAACTAAAAAAAAATATTGCAAAGTTAAAAGGCTTTAACGAGAATAGATTTTCACAATCGCTCGATGTTGAACTTTTTATATGAGAGTACAAAGAGAACCTGGAAAGAGAAAAATAATTAAAAATAACAAGAATTAAAAACTTTTTAAGCATGCTAGCTTATATCAAAAGAAGCTTCATATACATAAGACGCTATAACCGTAAAGTAATAAAGTAGAGGGAGAAAAGAAAAAGACTTGTTATAATCCACTAAGAAAACACAAAATGTAAAGGAAGTTCTATATATTGACCTTAATTTTTATTTTCAGAATTCTTGTCAAAACTGAAACAAAACATTATACACATTATGGATTAAATCATGTAACAAAACATCTTTTAAAATTCTTCTGCCAGACTTCATCACAACTGATTAAGTCAAATTTTGATAACGTTTTTTTTTTTCTTTCCTGTTTCTGATATTTACATGCAATCCCAACTGACTTTCTTAAATTCATTTTTATAAGAGTTCTAAAAATATGCATTAAGAGTGGAGATTGTGGCGCACTCTGTATGTAACATAACACAATAAGTGAATAGAAAATTTTGATATTCCTTTATATCAATATATAATTCTACAACTTTCTTCGTTTATCCTGACATGAATGGTAATTAACATGATGGGCACGGCGTGCCATAAATGAATGCCTCACTGGCTGCCCTTCTTTGGTTGGTGTGGCATCAATTAATGCCTCAGCTGAGAAATTCAACAAACACAACTCCATGTGCCACATTAAAATGTTAAACACATAGAGATTTAAAATACATTGTGTAAACTATTTATCTATTTATCTTTAAAATAATATGGCTCTAAACCCATGATTAATGTGTTAAACACTTCACCAATAATATCATGCCTTACAATAGTGTTTTGTTTTAATAGACCATTAAGTACCAGATTTTATTATATAAAAGTTATTTCTTTTAAATTTATTTCAGTTATGCTGTATCATAGCAAAAATCTTTATAATTTAATGGTTCCCTTTTTCATATTTATTTGATTTATAACACTTTTTCTTTAATAACTCAAAATTTTCTAGTTTTTTTTTCTTTTCATTCAATGAGAGTTTCTGTTTTTCCTTATTTGAATAATTATTAATTTCTAATCACTAAGTGTATACTTTTTTTTTTAATTTATAGCGTTCTAAAAATTTATAATGAAATGTAAGGATGTGTTTATTACAAAACACTCTATGTATATTTCATATTTATATTTTATGAAGTTCATTATATTTTCAAAATTGAGAAATAAAATGTGAAACAGTCATTAAAGTATTATCAAATCATCAAAATGTTGGTATCAATTAGTGAACTTTTCCACTATAGAAAGAAAATAGTGACTATTTTTCTCGTGAGTCTCTTTCCTGATTATTTCATTTTTATTTCACAGCTTTATAAAGAAACAATTACCTTATTCCACTAAAACTGCTTCACAATTTTAAGATTAAAATGCTATTTTTTAACAATTATAACTTATTTTACTATTATGGTCATCTTCAACCTAACCACTTTTACACTCAATATACCAGTTAACAGTTCTTTCAATGCTAATCAGTGAAAAAACACATATTGATAAGTAGAATTTTGTATCAATTTGCACACAATTTAAGGTTAATAAATTGTTGAGCAACTATATTATATATATAAATTCATTTCATTTCATTTTAAAATTTATTTGCTTATAAAAATTTACATCAAAAGCCTTCATATAACATTATACTTCAGTTATATTTCAGAATATATTGTGCTATGCAGAAAATTCTTAATTTTGTAAATATAATATCTAATAAGATTTACGAAGTTATTACTTTGAGGAAAATTAATTTTTAAAAGTAATTCTATTTATTTTATATTCAAGGCAACATTTTTATTTTTTTCTCTAGGCAACATTTCAATTTAAAAAATTTTGCACAAAAAAATTTTTTTTCTAGAATTTTATAGAAATTTGCACAACAGTTTGAGGGTTATAAGAAATCATTCAGTTCTATTTTAGAACATATATCGTATTATACAGAAAATGTTTCAATATTTTAAAAAGTTTTTTTTTTTTTCATTTTACTTTTAAGAAACTCATGTTTCGGTTGGAAACATTTCACTCTAAAAACTGGAAAAAAAATTTGAATAAAATGCGAAAATTTTTATAAGATTATTTCAGCTGAACAACACTTCAAACAACCAACAAAAGTTAGTTGCTTGTAGCAATAGTTACGACAAATTGTTACTAGACAAGAAATTTCTTTTCTTTTTTTTGGAAATTTAATAAGGATTTTTTAAAGACAGTCAATTGAGTGTCAAGACAGAAAGGTATAATTTTTGTAGCTATTTGTGCAGTAAACTAAAATTTAAAATTTGTATCATATTATTCAAACTGAAAAACTTAACAAACAACGATTTAAATTCAGTTGTTAAAAACTGATTTTATACTAACTTATGTCTGTAATGATTATTTTTCGAGTAAAAGTTTTGGTTTGTATTTCAACAGCAACAAAAATTTCCAAAAGAGAAGATAAACTATTATATATACTCACGGTAATAAAGACGATGACAGCTAAAGGAATAGAAAACAGTGCATATACATGCAGTAAGTAGGCTCCACCCCAAATAGGGCCCACAATACAGCCAAGACTACACATACTTCGTCGAAATCCTTGAAATAAAGCTGGGGAGGAAAATAAATTTTAAAAGTAAAATAAAATAATTTTTCAAAATCTTTGTGAAAAAAAATTCTAAAAGTTACAACAACAAAAATACCTTTAATTAATCATTGCCCATTACTATTAAATTATATAGAATGAAATCCTAATCATTGTGGCTTGCTAAGAAATAAAAATGCAGATAACCTCGCAAAAGAAGCATATCTCTCAAACTAACCTGAGAAAAGTCAAACAGCTAGTAAAATAAATAATTCGACAGTCAACTTCTAGCAAAGAGCAAGATCTAGGTGCTTCTTGGGAGAACTTCTTAACATAATGTGTACCCAGGGTTGTTGTGTTAACATAATGTGTTGCCTAGGGTTATCGGTGGTTTCATGTTTCGGGCTACTAACTGGAAACGACTCTCTACATGCAAATCTATGCCATATTGGACTTGCTGACTCTCCTGACTGCATTTTATGTGAGGAACATGTTGAGATGAATAGCGAACATCTCTAGAACTTTTCTGACCTCCAAGAAGACCTCATTTTGTCATATTTCATCATATGTAATAATTCGACAGCCAACTTCTTGCAAAGAGCAAGATCTAGGTGCTTTTTGGGAGAACTTCTTAACATAATGTGTACCCAGGGTTGTTGTGTTAACATAACAATGTGTTAACATAATGTGTTCCCTAGGGTTATCGGTGGTTTCATGTTTCAGGCTACTAACTGGAAACGACTCTCTACACGCAAATCTATGCCACATTGGACTTGCTGACTCTCCTGACTGCATTTTGTGTAAGGAACATGTTGAGATAAATGGCAAACATCTCTAGAACTGTTCTGACCTCCAAGAAGTCCTCATTTGGTCATATTTCAAGATGATCTCCGTCCTTCGGAAGACCTCTTTTTTTGTATTAGGCTGCAAGACTTATTATGCTTAATAAAGCAAATATAAGGACGTAATTAAAAATTTATACTAGAAAGCCCCTTTCAATAGTGTTCATTTGTTTGTATATACCTCCAAAAAGATGGCTCTCCCCTCAACTAAACATTAATCAAATTATTTTATAATTTGCAATTTAAAAAAAAAAAAAAAAAAAAAAAAAAAAAAACAGGAAGCTTTACAGTTTAAAGGCAATGTCAAAGTGGTTTATAGAACTAACACAAAATGTAAAACAAGTACTATCTTAATTACCAAATTCTATAGACTACAAATAAATGGGATGGTGTGATAAATATTTGTAAACAAAAACAGGGTATTCAAAAAATTTTAACAGCTGCAATATACGAGATATACTGAATTATACTATGCAATATACAGAATTATACTATTGTTATCATTTAATGGTTCAACAATTATTTTTCAACAACACTTTTACTATTACATTTCTATCCGATTTTTTGCTTGCATCCCTAGAAACAAAAACATTTTTTAATTGATAATCCAATATGTTACCCCCATTCCTTGCATGTTTTCATATTCTTTACATGTTTCTGTAAATTGATGTAGTAATTCCGAGTAATTTTAAAAATATTTCTTCACATTGGTAAAGATTAAACCGTAATGAGATGAGCTTGTTTTGGAGCATAATACACTTATACCACACACAACTAGAAAGAAAATTAAAAAATACTTATTAAAATGTAAATAATACTGACAATACTCTTAATAGCACAAAACATGTGTCTTCTTCCTTATTTGATCACAAATTAAGTACATATTTGTAATTTTCTATTTAGCTGGTAGTTTGAAGAACCTCCAATGAATATTTCATTAACAAAAGTTCCAAGTACAGTTAACAATAAAATCTTTAGCTACGTATCCCTCTTTTAATAATTAAATAATTTGTTGTACTGATAATTAAATATTATTGTAAAAATAATTTTCAGAAACATTTAAAATTTACTTTATTAAAAATGATAATTATTTAAAAAATATATAAATTAATAAGAAATTAAATAGTTTCTAAAAGTTCTAAAAATTAATAAGTAGACAATTATTACATTTTTTTAAAAAAAATTATCATTATAAAAGTCACAATTAAATACCTTGGCTGTTTTCATCAGTAATTTTGGACAATAAAGATGCTGAACATACAACAATTATTGCAATTCCAATTAGATCAACAACAATTGTCGTAATAAAGTAATATAGAGTAGAATTATCCCCTACAATAAAAAAAAAATAAATAAATAACAGAAAGACACTGCTAGTTCAAAGGATATTATTTGTTTTTCAAATGAAGTTCTCAGACAGACTAAGCATAAATTAAATAGTAAAATTTATTTAAATAAATAACTGAACTAGAGTTTTCAAAACAATAAAGTTACGCAATGTGTCAAATTCAGTTTTTTGAAGGATTCGATTCATAAGGCACTGTAACTGCTTGGTAAAGTGTTTTGTTATTTAATTAGTAGAAAGTATTACTTTTTTCTGACAAAAAAGTGAACATCATAACTAACTTTTCTATGTCCCAGAACAGCAAGGAAATTAGATATCTAGCTTTCATGATGATAAAAAAGGGAATGTTAGCTTTGCATTAATTAAAGAAGTCTAATTTTTAATCACGGACATTTTTTAAATCGATCAAGTTAATTTTTTTATACTCCAGACTCTCAATTAAATGGGATCATCAAGATCAAGAAATACAGCATCCTAGTTAAACAATTATAAATACAATGCAATACATTTAGACATATCTGATACAAAAGTAAGGGTAAAGAAAAATGTGGTCGTTCTTATGCATTACTTAACATTTTTCTTGCTCTTTTTCTCTTCTTTAACGGAAAAGGGAGATCTGCTAAAAATAATCCGCTACTCAGTTGGCATGAATCAACTGCACTATTTTCATAATACCCATATCTGATAATAAACAATCTTATGAGTGTTTATTTGCATGATTAAATCAATTTTGTGTAAATATAAAGAAAAGAAAAGCAAACAAACACTTGTGATTATTTTTTCTCTACAAGTAAAAAAACTAAACCATATTTCTGCTTATTCAAAAATAAAAACAAAGCCAAACTATGATCGGGCACCTAACTTCATATTTCAGGCCTCTGTCTTTTAACGGCCACGGTGAGAATGTCATTTATTTTTGACCCCTGTCTGAGGACATATACAGCACTTGAGTAGATACTAACTCCTACACCACAAACGAGAAAACTTTAAGCCAAGACATATTTACTGTGCACCTTACTGCATATAGATGTGTCAGCTGTTTAGTTGGCAGACAACCATAGTTAAGCATATAAAAAACGACATTCTTTGTGGGTATTTTTTTAAAAAAACAAATACAAGCTGTAATATTACATTAATAAAATTAAGAACAACATAAAATATATTTTCAAGCAATATTTACCAGGCACAGCAGAAGGAACATAAATAATGGGAAGGATCATGGCAACAATCAAGGTAAATAACCCAAATATAATAAAAGATCTATCAGAAACTTGCTTGCTTGCATATTTAATAACAGCATATACCAAAATAACCTGAGGAAATATAAAGTCTTTTAATCATCAACAATTTACAATCAAATCTGAAATGTTTTAAATGCAGAAATTTTAACGACATGGTACACAGCACTACTCAACTAAATTTTCTGCAACTTTTTTTTTACTGTCTAAACCAACTTATCTAAGTTTAAAAAAGTTGGAATTTTTATCACAATCAAAATTTTTTGTAACAAACAAAATTCTAAAATAAATATGAAATTCAATCAAAATTGGGCCTTTTATTTGAAGAATATTACATAGTTTCATGTAAATCAATGGTTTACTTTTCTATATGCTTACATGACAATTCTAATTAAATATGTAGTTTTCAATGATTTTTAGGAAAAAAAGAGGATAATGAAACCAAACATTAAAATAGATACAAACATTTAAAGTTTAATCATTCTCTAAATTTCATTAACAAGAGAACTAAACATGTGCTATGCAATATAGGGGTAGCGATATTTACTGACAAATTTTCAGAAACTTTAACAAAGTCTCAAGCACTTTGCACAAATTCATTAAAAAATTTGCACTGTTTTCTTAGAGAATAAAAATGCCTTAATGACATGATACATAGCACTACTCATCTCAATTTTGTGCAATTTTTTTACTGTCTAAATTAATTTATAGAACAATAGAACATTGTGTATAGAACATTGTTTTTTTATAGAATAATATTGTGAAAATGCAATGTTTAATACATCAAGTTCTACCTTGAACTTAATCTGGTATTAACAGAGTATTAAAAGCTCACAATTCACTATTATAAAATGTTAAATTTTACATATGTATCATTTTAGTTATTTTTGTGATTATATATTTCAAAGTTTACTTGATAAAAGTGTCAAAATTAAAAATTAAGCTCAACTAAAAAATTATAAAACCTTTAATTCTTAAAAATTGCACTGGGAAAAAAAAATTTCTGCTGCGTGAGATTTCTTTAAACAGTTCTTAGATACTTTTATATCACTGATTTCAATTCTGCAGTCGGTTTCTACAGTTCTCTTTTTTAAAGACATTTTTAGTCAAAATATACAAGTTTAAAATGCTATTTAACTATACAGGTCATAATAGGGGAAAGTCCCTAGGCACATAAGACAAGATTTCCAGGCATGGGTTCATATGCCATTTTCACTCTGATGATGTGCCCTAACTCTCCTAGAAGTTTATCATAACATTTATGCGTCCACCTATAATACATACAACAGTTTAAACTTGTACATTTTAATTCATTTTTCAAAAAAATCTGTGCATTAGGTGCAAAAATAATTTCAAATTTGAAATTCTCACAACCAAATTAGGTAAAATCAAATATTTGTAAAAATGTTGAGAGAAAAAAAAAATTGGTTCCCTGGTGTTATTTAACAATGTAAAAATAAAGAGTTAATCTCAAAAATTTTTGAAGGAAGACATAATTATTACAGAAAGAATTATTTAATAGTTGACATTTCCATACATAATTTAATATTGGAACAGTATTTAGACTTAAAAATATCTATAATGAAGCTTCAATAAGTTGCACATTCAAAATATAAATAAATAAAATTAATACATTAAACAAAAGAAAGCAATCAATTTTATAAGAAAATTCATTTGATGAAATGTATAGCAAATTATTTAAATTTATTTCAGTTGAGAAAGAGAATTATTTACATTTATTTTTAAAGTTTAACAAAAGAAACACTCACTTCAATACCAGCAACCAAGTAAATGTAGCTGTTGTCCATTTCAGTAAAATTGTAATATTTTTGAGCAAGTGGTGTAACAACTGTCTGAAATTAATAAATAAATAACTCAATTACAATAAATACCTATACATATTTTTAAAAGAATACATAAACATATGATATACTTACTTCTAATACAGTTTGTGCAAAACAAGAAATAAAAGCTAATCCAAGTAAGACAATAATTTCATCTCTGAAGTAATCTGATAATTGAAAAAAAAACAATAATATTAAAAAAAAAACTTTTCTAAAGAATAAAATTTCAAATAATGAAACAAGAAGTTCAGAAAATGCAGATCAAAATATATAATTTATAAAACAAAAATGTCAAAACCACTGAGAATTAGTAATTATTAAATATATTCAAAATTGAAAGTAAATTTTTCCTCGAGTTCTTAAATCATCACACAACAATTTTTTAACATATTTAGCATCATATGGTATACTAATGCACTTAATTCAAAAGACCTTAAGACAAATACACATCAATGAATTAATTATAATACATAATTAATTGTTATGTTATGTAAATATTATGCAAGGCTATGTACATGACAACAAGTCATATAAATATAAATAAGTACCAATTATTTCTAACTATTTCATCTGAAATTGAACTAGATCTATTTAATTAGTTGGGTAACTGGCACACTCTTTGAATGCTTAAGTTCAGTCATTTATAGATATCCAACCTAATCAATTAATAAATTATCAACAAATAGCCTCAATTCTACAATATCTATGTCACATGAAAAACCGAAATTCAGGATTGTCAATTTTTACTGGTGAATGTCAACAATCACATAGCAGCAAATATCGAAAATTCTAGATATGATTTTACATTAATTAATTCATTAGTATTTAAACATTTAATCAGTATTTTAACACCTAATTAGGATAGATTAGGAAAAATATCAGTGTGGGGAATGCTAGACAGATGTGGGGTCAATAACCGGTATTTTTAACTCTCATGTTTCTTTTAAGATTTAAGATCTTTGCCCAGTATTATTATTATTGCTTTCTTTAAAAAATAAGTTAAGTGCCATTTTCTGGTATACACTTACCCAGTATTCCCTACACTGCTATTCCTAATATATCCTAAACGTATATTAAAATATGGAATAAATATTAAAATGTAAATAAATAAATTATCAAATACATAAGAAATATTTCAAGCATTCACCAAAATGACTATTTGATTGTTGACATTCACAGTAGGTGAAAGTAGACATTCTTCAGATTTCAGTCTTTCACACTAATATATACAAACTTTTGTTTTCTAAACTTGCAGATTGCAACTTTCTTTTTAAATTGAAAGAAAAAAACATTTCAATTTAGCATTTATAGTCTAATTTTAAAATAGTGTTAATAGTAGCTTCGTTACATTTAAATTTTAACTAGCATAATACACTGCCTCAAAGAAAGATCATCATTTAAGACTAATGAAAACAAGAAAAAATTCAATAAAATAATATAATGCAGATTCTGAAAAAAAGACCTGATAAATATCCTCACTTTTTAGATAACTTCATCACAATTAAAAATATTATAAGCAAAAAATAAGAAATACTTTCCAGCACTTCAAATGCACATTGTGACTGGGCCAATCTGAATACCCTGAATTTGTAATTAAGTATGTATTTTATGTATGTATTTTGAAATTAAGTATGGTTCGTAATTTAGTATGCAATTATGTATTTTGAAAGTTTAGAAACCTTATTTATTATTGCTGGTATAAGTATTACTGGTTTTTACATAAATAGAAGCAATTATAATTTGGTTAAAGAAGAGAAAATAACAAAATAAATAAAAGCTGAAACATTTAACTTAATCTTTTGAAAAATAGAATAAGGATACTATCATCAAAATAAATTACTAAACTAATTAAGATCACAAAACCACAAACTCATTATGTACATTAAATAGTTGAATTCTTATATTTCAATATTTTTTAAAGAAATAAAAAGGATTATGAATCAATGTGAAATAGTATTCATTGATGAATTAAATATAATAAATAAAATAATCTAAAAAACATACCCTTTCTTACGTGCCCAAGTAAATGTGAGGTTTCATCTGGCAGAGACACAGGTGCAGAAGAGTATGGTGTGCTACGAGGACTACTAGACCTTTTTGGAGTTGTTGATTCAGAGCTCACCTCAACATTTTCCCCGACTATTTTTCTATATGAACCAGATGAACTTAAAATCAGTCTTTCAGCAGATTCAATCATAGTGTCAGAAACACTTTCTTGACGTTCAAGATTTTTAAGTCTCTTCACTCTCAATTTGTTCTGTTTTTCGGCAATGATTTCAGAATCAGGCACTATAGCTTGACAATGAATCGACTCAATCTCTTCCCTTCTCAATGGAGGGAAAACATCACTATCTTCTAACCATTCGATGTGAAGGTTTGGTTGTGAGGCACTGAGGGAAATAGTGGGTGGTGCTAGACCCTCCTGATTGGGAGTGACAGTACCTGAATAAGGGGGGTAAGAAGAAGTGAAGGCAACTTCTAATGTGGACTGGTTATCTAACTCTGCATAGGGAATGCTACCAGTTACGCCAGAGTTATAGTTTTCAAACAATTTCTCTACTTCTTCATTATCCTTTAATGTGGTGAGATTGGTATAACAAAAAAGAACAATAATTTCCAAGCATAACCATAAAAAGGCCATAAAAAGCTGAAAAACAATTAATTGTATATTAAAAAATCATTATAAATGAATAAACATAATTAACAAGTTACAAGGTTAAAAAAAATGCCTTAATAACATTTAAATGTAAATTTAGAGTTACATCATGAGAAATTATTTCTTAAATGAATACTAATAAGCATCATGCATAGTACACATTATACTTTTTTATTGAAAATGAATAAATTTGAAGAATCTTTTTTTTAAAAAAATCACAACATTATCAAAATGAATTAAGTTTAGATATTACTACACTAAAAACAGAGAAACTTCATAACTATAATAACAAAAAATATTTAAAAATGCAAAATCAAGATTTGCAGATTAACACGCAATGTGATGTAGTACTAAAAATGTAATATACAAAATTGAGATAGATATGGAGAAGAAAAGCAATTGTACAGTTATAGTATTGAAAGACAATGGGCATAAGTTGTGATTCAAAATGTTAAAATGCATCATACAAATTCTCTTTAAATATGCATGATTCTTTTGGGTGCAACAATCATTTATAGGATTATTTATGAAATCCAATTAACATGAAATGTAATAAGTCTGATTGGCATAAATTTTTAACAAATCATAAATTTTTGTAATAATTATGAAACTTAAACAGATAACAATAATAAAAAAAAAACTCTACATTCACATTTCATTAAGAAAAGGAAATTATTACAACAATACAATTCAAACTATGTCCGCAGTCGGAAAAACTACATTAGTTTTGTAGCTTACTATACAACTAGAACTACTTTGTTACAAATGTAGTTAACTACAACTATTTTTTTTTAATGCAACTACTACTACTACAAACGACTTTGAAATCTTAATAACTACTTCCCTACTTTAAGGAGATGAATTTTGCTAGAGAAATTAATTTAGACCTATGTTCAATATGGTTTTGAATAAGAAATTGGCTTACATTAAATGTAAGTAAATAATTAAGAAATATTTATTTATGTTTACAGGGGCCAGTTTGTTATTCCAAAACATTTTTTTTTCAACCTTCAACTTTTTATGACTTTTTCGACAGAGCATATTTAATTTAAGAAATGCGAAATCATCAAATACTCAAAATTTTAATTGTTTAATGCTCTTTTATTTCCTCTAAGAAATTAAGAACATCGAAAATATGTACCCTTCCTTTGAAATAACATCAATGTTTCATGAGTGTACATTCCCATGTGAAAGAGTGACCAAAGTGATTAATTATCTATTTTTCATAATAGCAAGTTTAAATATTAGTTATATGTGATTTGAAATAGGTAATTTCTGTTAACTCTCAGCTGCAGACACAGGGTCATTTTCATTGCATTTTCAAGTTTTTTACTCATCAAATTTGAAAAATTGGTTGCATTAGAACCGTGTTTCTTTTCTAAACTAACATTAAAAGTAGTTGCCAGGAATTGCTACAAACTAGTTTTTTTTTTTTTGTATTGCCCTACTCACTACACTACTTTTTTTTAAAAAAGTAGCACGCTACACTAGCAACAAAAAAAAGTAGCAACTACATTAGTTTCAATACTTGTAGTGTGTTACTTCCTACCACTGAACAATGTACATCCAAAAACTTTGATTACTCTAAGTAAGGCTGATCTTAATTACTTCAATTAAGGTCTTACTATATTTATTTCTAGAACTCTATTATGATTTCTTTTTCAAAGTTTACTCATTGACATTTAAATATATTAACAAATTTCAGAACTGCGTTCACAAAAAAATAAAAACTGTTTACTCAATTTTAACACTTTAAAAATAATGTAAAACTATTAATGTAAAAAAAAACATAAAGTAACAATTCTTTTATTCCAAATGTTAAAATTACCTTATATGCAACCTGTTAATTATTATTAGCAATAGATAAAAAAAAAGGATTAAAATAAGAAAATTCAATATCAAATTAAGAAAACTAGATAACTCTAATAATTTTTTTTACATGTGATTTTTAAAATAAATTAAAATGACAAAAAACATATATAGCTTCCAACTAAACACTCAATTTGTGTAAAAATAAATAAAATACATCTAAAGAGGTAAAATAACAAACAACCGATACTCAACTTAAATTTTCAATTTTTACAAAAAAATTTTTATTGGATGGTTTTAAAACCAAGAAATAATTATTCATTATTTTTTATTTTTTTTGTATCACCAAGAGGTAAAGAAATGTTAAAAAATATCATTAAACAATTGAAGTTTCAAAATTTTTTTAACATCATATAAAAATGTTTTCTATACTGGAAATTAAATTGGTGGTTACAGATTTTCTCTTTTAAATTTCTACAGTTGAAATATATTTATACTATTTCTACAATTACATGTATGTTCGTAATTCTGATTATAAATTTATTTATAAATTAATCTTTCTAATAACAATTTTTTAAATTCATTACTTATACAAAGAAGGAATAAATAAAAGTAATGAATGATATAGAAAATTAATCAGTTATTTTCTTTAGGAAAATTTCCAGAGTTTAGCAGAATCTAAAAAAGCTGCAATTCACAAAATAAAAAAGTTAAAATATTTTTATACACTTAATTTTTTTTTGTAAAGAATCTTTAGAATTTATGATTATAAATTTGTCAGTCCTTTGAAATGTGATATAAAATTATGTTATCAGGGGTCCGTCTAGGTTTTTCTGAGAGGTACCTATTTTAAGAAAATTTAGAAGTAATTTGTAAAAATTAAAAATTATAATAAAAAATCAACACAAAAGATATGGTAAAAATATGGATTTATCGTTTCTTACGAGACACAAAAATAAAATTTTAAGAAAAAGTATTTTGTGAAACTACTGTTTTCCCTAAAGTTGAATTTGTGAAGGTACCGCTAAACGGTAGTAAATTTGACTTAGACAGACCCCTGGTTATGCATCAAATAATAATGCTGAAAATAAGGGGAATAGAAAAATAATCTTTACAATCAAGGAGTAAACTTCAATTTAAATATTAGAAAAACTCCTGAACATTTTGAAAAGGACTATTCAATCTTTGCTTATAAGTACATATCCTCTTCTAAGAACTATTTTTATTAATATTATTAATCATTGCAAAATTCAGCTAGATAAAAAAAAAAAAAACTTTGATTTTAAATAACAAATAAACTAAAGTGTTTAAAATTTCAAAATATATTAATAAAAATAATAGATTAATAAAAATAATTTAAAAATATAAATACTTATTTTTAATAAAAATAAAAAAAACTCAAAAAAAAATTAAGTTTCCTTTTTAAAAAAGGTAAAGGTAGCAGTCTTTTCAGTTATGAAAAGTTTTTACACTAAACAAAAGCAATAAGACCAATAAAGATAATTTTACAAGTTTAAAAAAAAGATCAAATATACATTTATTAAAGGGCATATTAATATTAAGCTTACTCCTGGAGATGAATATTCATCCACTGGCAGGGAAAATAAACTAAAATCAATTTTAGAAAGAAAAATATTAAAAGCTGGCCCAAAAATTAGTCCAAGTTGACGTGATGCAATAACAACAGAGAGAACAGGAGTTCTTTCATCTTCAGATGTAGTGCGTGTAATATCTGCTAAAACAGCAGCCCCACCACCAGCTCCAACACCTATCCAAAAAAAAAAATCCATACATTTATTAGCCAATATCTGAAAAGCATACAAAATTTTAAATAAACATCTAAAAATAGTACACATTTAAAGAAAAAATTTTAAAATCTAGATAAAATGCAAAAATTCTTATACAGAGTTTAAATGTTTACTTTCTTATATACAGAGTTTACAGAGAGACCAAAAATTATTAACTATATACAAACGTATATATAAAGATTTTTCTTGTCTAGGTTAAACTGTAACAGGTAATTATCAAAAGAATTTTAAAGTTTTGGCACACCATAATGAAAAACATTAATTCTTCCAAAAAAATTTCAAAGCAATACTTATTTAAAATTTATGGAGACAGTGGACTCTTGAAAATAAATATTTTTATTTTTGGTACTAGAATTTTAATTTTTTGTGCTTCAACTAACTTTCTCCATAAGTTTACGAGTAAAAGACTATAAGACCTGAGGCCATAGACTTTTTTACTCTTGATATTAGAATTCTAATATTTTGTGTTTCAATTAAATAAATACAAAATAGTCTTGTATTTATTCAATTGAAACCAAGTTTCACTATGAACCAACAACCAAAGAAGAACCTCACCAAGAACCAATTAAAACCAAGTTTCACCAAAAAATATTGAAACTTTATGGAGATATTAAATACAGCCCTTTTTTAATGTGTACTATTAAAAATTACCTCATGCCACATTTGTTTAAATAATGATACAGGGTGCATAGTCAAATTATTCAGCAAAAAATAAGCACCTTTTAAGCACTTTTCAAGAACTCAAAAAATATTTTTAAGCACTTTAGAAAATATATCATAATTAGGCAGGGTTGGAAAGTTTTTGGCAATTGACGGTTTTATCTTGTTTTAACTGCCATGTCAAAAAAAAAACCTTATAGCATTGTTTTTGACAATTGTCAAAAATTATGAAATTTTGATACATGTAAAATGAATGGCGTTCTCATACGCTACAGACTGACAATATGCCGAAATAGATTGGGGTTGAATTAATTGAGAAAACTTAGAATAGAAAAATGAAAACTGTGTCTTTTTGCAAAATTCGTAACAAAAATCAACATGGTAAAGGAAAAATCTCATTTTCAACAAGGGAAAATTAAGCACTTTTTAAAAACACCCAGAGAAAAAAAGCACCTTTAAGGGCTCTTAAAAAACTAAAAGCGAAAATAAGCACCTTTAAGCACTTTTTAAAAACGCTACAAACCCTGTGATATAAAGTAAATAGCTTTGTTTTTTTGAAGTTCATGGAGTGGATAATTTTTTTTTCTCCAAAGATAAAATTAAAGTATGATCCTAGCAAATCCCTTCAATACGAAGAGCAAACACGAATGAATATCAAATCAATATAAATGAAGCAAATAAATACGAATTTTTAAAATTTGTTTGATAGCAATTGATTTTCAACAAAAAAAATTACCTGAAATCAATCTGCCAATTATCAACACCCACGTGTGCATGCCGACAAAGTATAGCAAACTACCAATCATTTCTGCCAGAATGGTTACAAGCAAGATCATTTTTGTATTTAAACTTTTGTCGTTCCACCATCCAATTAAAGGGTTGGCAAAAAATGAAGATAGACTGTATGCTGCAATTATGATGCCAAGCATATCTGATTCTCCTTTTAAACGCTTGTGAATATAATTCCATATTGTAGGGAAAATTATAGCTAAAAGATAAGAAGTAAAAATTAGAAAACACATTTTACACAATGGAAAGGATAAGCAAATTGGAAAGGAAAGTATTTTTTAAGTTATAAGATAAAAATAACTAAAGGGTGTTTAAAAAACTATGTAGATCTTATTTGGTAAATAGGAGAAATTTTTAAGAAAATTTTTGGAAAGAATCGGAAATTCTTTCCAAAATTATGCACACCATACACCTGGTAAAATGTGCCCAATTCTTTTTTTAACTGTTGTTATTTTGACATTGATTGTTACTCTCTCCCTCTCTGTTTCTGTTTAAAGTAGTTTGTGCTGCCATCCATATTTCATTTTAAAAAGTCACATGATTAGTAAATGTTTATATTATTTTTATGTATTATGTAGTTTAGTTCGCTTTAAAATGTTGTACAAAAAGGTAGTGTGTTTATCATGTTAGTATTTTGTGTATGTTTGTATTTTATGTTCGTCATTAAAATATGTTGTTCGTAATTGTTTTGGTTCGTTAGTATTAATTATTTAGTACCCTCTCTCCATTAATGATCATCTTGGAGAGATTTTTGTAAATTACATAAATTAAAATATAAAAACAACTAGAAACTCTAGTAGTAACAAATACACAAAGATTTTTTTAAAGATACATAAGAAAATGCATATGAAAAATATTTTATGAAATTTATTTTATCTACAAAAAGGTAGGACCTTTAATTTGACAGCTGATAAAGTATAAAAATTTTGAAACTTTTATTACTGACTGTTCATAGTTAATTTTACCAATTTCGAAATTTCATTATAAAAGCTTTTAAAATAATTATAAACAAAAAACCTTACATAGTAAAAGCATTGTTTAAAACCCTGCTTAAAATATGCACACATCTTTGAAGAAAACATATTAATTAATAAAAAATTATATAAATCAAGAAATTATCATATTTCAAGTTACATTAATTACCTATCAATAAATTTGAACATGTGTTTACTTTAATCGGTACACTATAAACAACTTCTTTTATAATCAAGTTCAGTAAAATCACAACCTAAATTTTAAAGCATATATAACATACAATTACATCATAAATGACAAACAAAGATAATTTTAAAGAAAATGTAATCTAAAATAACGAAATGAANGAGGTACCTATTTTGTGAAAATTTAGACATAATTTGTGAAAAATTAAAAATTATATTTAAAAATCAACACAAAAATATAGTAAAAATGTGGATTTATCGTTTCTTAAGGGATACAAAAATAAGATTAAGAAAAAGTATTTTGTGAAACTACCGTTTTTCTTAAAATTGAATTTGTGAAACTACCGTTTTTCCTAAAGTTGAATTTGTGAAGGTACCGCTAAACGGTAGTAAATTCGGCTTGGACAGACCCCTGTACAATTACATCATATATAACAATCAAAGATAATTTTAAAGAAAATGTAATCTAAAATAACGAAATGAAACAAAAAAAATTCAACTGAGAAGACAAAGAAAATAACTTACCATATCCTAGACCAGTAAATAAATTGAATAATAATATTGTGCCGTAGGTTAGCCTCTTCTTTAATTTGACACTCATGGACAAATTGTTGAGACTGTATTCATAAAATTAAGTATATTTTATCTTCAATCTAAAAAAAATATATTATTTCAATACACTAGTCATTATCATTAAAAAAAATTTTAAAAATTACTAACGATCTTTAAAATTGAGAAAAAAATTAATTAATGATCTTAATAATAAAAAACTTTAACTAAAATATATCATTCATTTACAGAAAACAAATTTCAACACTTAATTTTGCTTTATAAAAGAAAATCGAGAATTTTTTACGAAGAAAAAATTTATTTTATGTTTCAAAATTATTATGCATTATTCACAATTACAGCAAATTTTTATTTTATTTTTTTTAAATTTTAATATTTTTTTAAATTTGAAAATTTTTTAAAAAAATTATTAATATTTTTGTTCACACAATTTAATAATAATAATAGATAAATTAATTACTGTATTTATTAAACTATTGATTTGTTTATTACTCTTTATAGACTCTGTGGAATTCAGCATTTCACATCTTAACTTCAGTTTTTACAACGATTACAAGGAATATAAGGAAATATATAGGAAGGAATATAGGAAATTTTTTCCCTAACAATTAAGCTATCAGGATAGTTAAAAATTAATAAAATATGAAAGTTTAAGCTGTATAAAAATAGACACTCCAAATTAAAAAAAAATAGGTGTTTTTAACTAGAATAATATTTTTATTAAAACATTTATTCATTATGCATTAAAAGCAAAATTTATTAAATGTTGTATGTGAATGCAATCCTACTATTTTTTTAAACAGTAATAGGCCAAACACGATTGGTTATTAAAATCCAAATTGTTAACCCAATTGTTAAAAGAAAATCTTAAATGTTATTCAGTATACACCAGTATGCATGACCTGACCTTAAAATTTCTATAGTTTCGTACGTCAGGAATGTGCTCGAAATTTAAATTCACCCTTAAAAGAAGATACAAATTATTCACTTAAACTAAAAAGCTTAGTAATTAATACTTACTTTAATTTTGTATAAGAAACACGAGACTGGTGATTAGAGCTCATGAATAATTTTCTTGTACATATTACGCAAATCAAGTTTATGAAACATGAGCTTTTAATTCAATCAAAACAACTCATTTATAATAGAATGATTTCATAAGAAAACCCATTAGTAGATGTACCACTCATTAAAGAATAAGTGTTGCTTTCCTAATTTAATTTCACACTACCATTTCACATACTGTAAGTTACATGGAAAAAAGATGCTTTTTAATTACAATGCAAAATATCAACCATAAAAAAAAATTAAAATCACACATCGTAATTTCTATTTACAAGATTGAAGTCATATTTTATATTTTCCCAATTTTATATCAAATAATACGTCTCATATTCATATGAATTAAAAGTCACTATTATGATTCATGTTCAAGCAACTCAAAAGTTAAACATTGGAATTCCTATTCACATGATTTTAAAATCAAATATCGAGATTTGTATTCCACAATTTTAAAATCAAACATAGAGATTTATATTAACGCCATTTTAAAATTAAACAACAAGATTTAAACTCACTCGATTTTTTTTACTTATATGTCAAGATTTGTAATTACATAATTTGAAAGTCACACATCCAGATTCAAATTCACATAATTATGAAGAAGAAAAAAAAGTCTTGCATCGATATTTTCAACAAAACATTGATAACATTATATGCATAAATGCTTCCTACATATAGTGCAGCTTTGAGGAGAACTCCTCCAGATTGAGAGTCTGGGGCTGTCTGCTGCTATGGTAGCAAGCAAGAGCATATTTCTAATGGGAGTGAAATGGAGGAAAGAAGGCGTCGATTGGTTTACTTACGACGACATACGCTAAGATTAAGACATAACTGTTCAATTCCTATTCAAAGTAACCTTTCCTCGTAACCATAGTACCCGCCACGATGGGAGACGGGTGTCTGGAGAAGTTCTCCTGAAAGTCGAACTATACACTTTTTACTGAACAAATTTTAGTTCTATTTACAGTTTTTTCTTTTTTGGTTTTTTACCAAACTCATCCCTGTGGTGAGTTCTATAAAAATAAAAGAGTTTTAAAAGAATCTGTGATTTTCAAAGGAATTTCACCAAAATGAACTGCCGACAAAAATATTGAAACTGATTACAAGAATTAATCAGCGTGTGCAGAAAGTTTCTTAATTGAGATTTTGTGTTCTCAGAAACTTTTTTCATTTTATCTAAGTTTGGTGTTACCTTTATTCTAATGATAAGTAAAGAATTTTGATGACCTAAAAAAAAAGTCTTAAACATAACAAAATATGTCCTTAAAAACATTTTTCTAAAATAAAATTTCCCTGTAATTAAAAGATATTTTCAATCTTGAACAATGAATGTTAAATAATAAAGGGAAAATATGTTGAGATACCAACACAAATTTATAAATAACAAAGTTATGATATATACAAAAGAGAAAAAAATAATGAAATATTTTATTAAAAAAAATAGCCCAATACAAAATAAAATACTAAAAAATAAAAAAAAATATTGCCTCAGAAAAAAGATCCTATAATAAAAATAATACCAGGATCAGAATCTTAAAAAAATTCCCCAACAAGAGAAAAACAGTCTTAAAATGCAAAAATCACCAAAATCTAAGCTATAATTAACGAAACTTTCTAGTATGTTCCTCTTAGAAATCAAATACATTAGAAATAATGCCTTTGAAACATACTGACTCTTGCAGGATTTGAATTTCAACACTGGTTAAATATTACAGTTTATTGCCTTAGCATCTCTACAAACGTACATAAAAAGGAACACTTTATCGAGCTAATGTTTAAAAAAAAGATTCATTACTTAAAAAAAAATAATAATAATTCCATGAACACTTTAACTTATTCTCTTTCCCTCTTCAAAATCAATTACGGTGATATTTCCTTATCCTGATCTGTGGCAGAATAATCGCCAGGTCTTGGCAACTTCCGGACAGCGGCCGGCGAGAAACTAAAAAAAACATCACAGAAAGAGACCAACTCGAAAGGTATAACTAGTCACTACCCCAGGGCAAACATCTACATGTTTGTTGTTGTTTTTTTATAAAAATTGCAAGTTTAAAATCTATTTGGCACCTTGCCGATTGTAGTTGGCGCAACAGATCACGATACGGAAATATCCTCATTTACTTATTGACTGGAAAAATAGAAAAATTATGTTTGATAACAATAACTTCTCTCGTTATGTTCAAGTTATACAGAGAAACATTCAAAAACTTAGGAATTCTTAAAAGAACAAAAGCAAACGTTCTACTGATACGAAATAACAAAAGATACCAGAGATAAATGTGTTAGCCCTACGTTTATTTGCAGTTTTACATCTTCTAAAACTGAATTCTTCTTCGAGAATATCCAGGAAAACGAAATAAAAATATAATTTCCAAAACACCAACAACAAGATGAGAGCTCCACTTTAAACGATAAAAAAGGGAAACGGACACATACATTTTAAATAATTCGATTGAAAAAAAAATAAAACAAGGAAAGAAAGTTAAATTGAAAACATTGTTGCCGATTATTTCTGTAACGTCTGTTTGTTTATTTGATACACTTCTGGCTATTTATTTCTGCCCGTCTTAAGAATTTGCCTTTTATTAAAACTCAATTTTGTCCATGGAAAGAAAAACTGGTTCGCGCTTACAAATTTCTCACAACACGTTCACGCATGTGGCAAACTGATTACGCTCGCAAAGGCTCAATCGGGCAAACTTTGGGAGCTTTCTAGTAATACAAAAAATACATAGCTGAAACCGTGGAACTCATGACTGTTCAACAGTGTTTAAATAAAAATTAGATGAGGATGCATCCCTTTTCTGCAACATTGAGTTGTGCAATTTGTGCATTTTTCTACTCGAAATTTTATTTTTTCACATCAGCTGCAGACGAAATGCCCAAGAATTAAAAAGACTACTGTATAAAAAGAGTATCTTTAAAATTTACTTATATGAGAAAAGTCTATTGCCACGACCACTGTAAAACAGAATTCCATCGAATGAAGAAAATTATACAGATCTTCGATGACAAGTAATATTGAGTACGTCATTCTTAATTTATTTTAACTAAGCTAACTGAAGAAATTAAAGTGTAACTAAAATTTGTTGACTTGCACTTTAAATTTTAAAAAGAAAACGATTTTTGTTTCAACTAATAATGTAAGGATTTTATTCTAAAACAACGCCTATCATAAATAAAAACAAAGAAACGCCACATTCATGTTTATAAAATTTTATAGAAACAAGGCGACTGTTTTGTATATTTTAAACATTCTGAATATGTTTTGAAAACTACACTACTGGCCATTAAAATTGCTACACCAGGAAAGCGACACACCACGAACGTGAAATTTGCAGGACGGATAAAGCATGTTGTACTATGCAAATGATTAGCTCATCAGCGCATTCATGCAAAGCAGGCGACGGTAGTGACACCTATAATGTGTATAAAGAAATAGATTTGACAGTAAATTTCCTATACAGAAATTGAATTTGAACGTCGGTTTTGGGTAAAAATGTTCTTGTTATGCGTCGTGTAAGAAGGAGAAATGTCTGCGCCAGTACATGTCTGAGTTTGATCGAGGTCGAATTGTGGCCTACCGGGATCGCGGTTTATCATACCAAAGTATTGCTGCTTGCGTTGGTCGAAATCCCATGACGGTTAGTCGAAAAAGGAATCGATGGGTTCATGACGGTCATATGGAACGCCGTGCAGGATCTTAGCTTCCCCCATCACTAACAGCTGAGAAGACAGATGTGTTATCCACATGGCCTTAAAGGATCATACACTGAGTCAACAAATGGGGTCATTGACAAGACAACAAATGTCTGCACGAACAGTTCAACGATGTTTGCAGCAGCATGGACTGTCAGGACGGCGACCATGGTTTCGGCTACCCTTGGCGTTGCATCACAGGCAGGAGTACCTCAAATGTGGGATCAACGACGAACCGGGACGCAGGAATGGCATCACGTCTTTTCAGATGAGTCAAGGTTCTGCATACAGCATCATAATTGCCGCATCCGTGTTTAGCGAAGTCGTGGAGAACGCTCATTGGCAGTTTGCATTCGACATATTGGTCCATCACTTGGGTATGGGATGACATTGGATACACGTCTCGATCACCTCTTGTTCGTATTGCCGGTACTTTTAACAGCAGCCGTTGCATTTATGATGTGCTAGGGCCAGTTGCTCTGCCTTATCTTCGAGGCCTCCATAACTCTACGTTTCAGCAGGACANAAAAAAATGTACTAACTATATGTTTCACCCGGCCATTAATTTTTTAGTTTTTTTTTCTTTCTAAATTGTTATCATTTTTTGCAACTTTTCATTTTTATTCTATACCCAACCGTAACAGGGCAAGGACAATGCACTGTCGCATGTTGCCCGCACTGTCCTGACCTTCCTTGACATAGACCATGTTTGCCTGTTGCCCTGACCAGCACGTTCTCTTGATCTCTCACCAATTGAAAACGTCTGGTCAATGGTTGCCGAACGACTGGCAAGCCGCCACTCGTCAGTCACTACTGTCGATGAATTGTGGCATAATGTTGAAGCTGCTTGGAATGTTGTATCTGTCCATGCTATCCAATCTTTGATCGACTCGACTCGATGCTCGGGAGAACAACTGCTGCTATTGCTGCCTCAGGATCTATACATCCAAATATCTTGAAAATGTAATCACTTGATCTTCCATCTATAATGTGTGTGCCCAATAAATGCCATTCTGTTATTTGCATCCCTTCCTGGTGCCGCAATTTTAATGGCCAGTCGTGTATATTTAATATCTTAACCAAAGGAAAATGTCAAGAAAACTATTTTTCGTCAAACTAAAATAGTTGAAAGAAAGTTATTTCCCACTATACGAAAATTATGGACAGCAGTTAACATAATTTTTAAACTACACAAAATTATTTATCAATTTTATAATACGTGTAGAATGCTAGGTTTTAATTACATTTAGTGATTGAAACACGATATTGAACTATTCAGCACGTCAAATTTCAACTCTTTAGTAACATTCTGGTGGGTTTCAGTGTCCCGCAGAGTATACTTTACTAGAAGTTTAAGAAATAATAAAATTAACTATCAAATTTTAATTTTATCAAATTTTAATAGCTATACATTTTCTATGCCCCTTCATAATTTCAAAAAGTAAAACAAAATTTAACCTATGTGTAAATGTAACTTGCAGAAAAACATAATGTAACGTACGTAAGTTTAACACACAAAACAGCAGCGGTTCTTACGGTTTTCTAATACAAAAAGATAACTTACCTCTTATAGTTCATTATGATGTATTTAATGCTTCGAAAGTATCTGAAATCAAATTGGTCAATGGTATTAATTTTATAATAAACATAATGTTTTAAAATAGTAAATGATTAATGAATTTAGATTCAACTTCAATTATGTTGAGTAATGAATGTAACGCTATAGCAGAGTGTCTTTAACCCTTTACATTCCGATGTCCCTTTTAATGGGACATGAAAAGTCACCATTCTAAAATAGTTTAAAAAATTTATATCTTAATGTTTATTAACCACATTACTTTATAATTGTTAGACATTATATAAAAATAATTATTATGTACTTCAAAATAACGAGTATTTAGCTCTTACATTCCTTTCAACAACATTTTAAAGTAGTCGGAGGAAAAAAAAGAGTAAAAATTTGCTCCTTCTCATCGTTTTGGCCAACGAGCACATGAACTTTGCGAAACTAACATGCAATTTTATTCAGAATGATATAAAGCTCGGCGAAAATGGGTTAATTACAATCATCCTTTTTTTATGCTTAATTCATCAAAACTTCCAATTTAGATATAAAAAAATTCAAATTAAAGTTTGTGCAGCTTAAGCTTATAATTATGTAAATAATTTCATGATTGCTGGTGTAAATGTTTAAAAATAACAAATACAATTTACAGGGTGCGTAGCCAAATTTTGCAACATAAAAATAAGGACTCAAAAACATTTTTAAGCACTTAAAATATTTTTAGCACTTATTTTTAAGCACGAAATAAAATATAGTTATGCAGGTTTTTGACGGTTGTCAAAAGTCGTAAAATTTTGAATCATGAAAAACGAGTGGAGTCTTCATACGTTACGGACCGATGGTACGCTGAAATAGATTGAGGTTGTAGTAATTGTAAAAATTTTGAATAGAACACCAGTCTTTTTGCGTATGGAAAAATCAACATGGTAAAGAAAAAATCTCATTTTGGAAAATTTCGCACTTTTTAAAAACACTCAATGAAAAAAGCACCTTTAAAGGCTTTTAAAGAACGAAAATCGGAAATAAGCACCTTTAAGCACTTTTTAAAAACACTACGCACCCTAATTAAAAAAAAAACATTAAATGCTTAACGTTGTTTCAATGTTCGGAATTTTTAATAACTTTATTTTTGCTCGAAAAATGTATTTTAAGAAAACTTTTTACAAAAATGTAAATAAATATTTTTGATCGAAAATTCAATTAAAAAATGTAATTTTTAATCGTCAGTTTACTTTTTTTTTATTATCAAAGTTTGTGATTTTCATCACTAGCTGATACGCATTAGCCTTTTTAAAATTTATGAATAAGTTTCTTTGAGTGGTTGTATATTTTTTAGCTTACCTTGAACACTGAGTAACCCTTTTTATCAGAACAACCAGCTCCAGGACAACCACTTTCCACAATGTCTCCCTTTAACAACCTGCAAGACTTCGAAAGATCCAAACTGAAACCATCACAATCCACCTCTCTCCTAAGGCAATGTGCAGCACACTGAACAAGTGAAGCTCTTTTCACAGGCTGGGATTCCTTCACCCTGTTATGTTTACTGTCTTTGTATGCGAGTTTAAATTTTGCGCTTTCAGAAAGAGTCAAAACAGACAAAAATATGATCAGGTATAGAAGAGAACTGATTTCAAAGGCTCTCATGGTTGAGACTTGATTTCGAATAACCTAGGGTAAGAAGTTAGACAGTAAACCGAGTCAATAAAAATAAAAGCAACTTTCCAAAAGGTTAAAAGAAAGTCTAGAGACGGCCATTTTCATGGATTTTATTGATGCTTTTATAGCTTACGATGAGCTATTTGGAGTTTTTTAATTGCAGGGAGTTTTTTTTATGAGACCTTAGCACGATCATGTTCAAAATAGAAAGCTAAACAAATTGCCATTGAAATGTTGTCTCAATATGTATGTAGAAAAAATTTCAGATTATTTATGTTGTTAATGTATATATATAGATATGCAGCACACAACATAATATAATAACACTTATGAAACTAAAGAACACAAAAAAGTAAAAAAAAGTTTTTCAATAAAAAAAATATTAAAAAACTGTAAAATAATTTATTAAAAATTAAGATATATTCTCGTTAAAAACTCACACGATTATATCCACAAAGATTTGTGCTTTCTAATACTGTATTAATGTAGGCAAAGCAAAATGCAATAGTGTGAGGAGGACCAATGTTAATATTGTATATTGATATATAAATATATATTTACATTTTGATCTGAAATTATGAATTAGCAATATTTTTTTTTTACTCAAGTAATTGTCTCAAGAAAAACTATTAACTTAGCATAAGCGCTAATTCCCTACCATTTTTTCCCCTTCCAAACATGACTTTTACATTTTTAATAAGTATTACGCACACGTAACGGCTGAAGGGAATGGGTTAATTTATTAATATTTTTTTTAGAAAATGGAAGTATATTCGGAAAAACCTGTGTCTAAGAGTACTTTATAGAGGAAAAACTTTCAAGCAATGATTAGAACTATAGCCTAGTTATCCAGTGTACAAGTTAATGCGATAACGATAGTCTTAATCAAATTTTCAGGATGTATGGTCAACTAAACGAAACGAATGAAAGTTTAAGCAACTAGTTTATAAATTAAAAAAGAAAATTCAATTTTCTTTACCAATTCTCTAAGTTTGTTACTGGGTATTGCTGATTCAGTCATCTTTTACCCTACTTAATCTTGGATTATTTTGACATAATTAAATTTTTTGAAATAATAGTAACACACTCAGAAGCTTTCATTTATGAAAAATACTTTTTCCTACTTACTTGTTCTCAAAGGGTTTGATAAACCATCTTGTATCATCATCCATGTATCGTAATTTACAAAAGGAGAAAAATAAATAAACGGAACTGTGAAACATCTGCAAATTTTCATTGATCACTTAGCAGAAACGATGTGCATTTAATGCAGTGATACAAAGAGTAAATAACTACTGTTGCCTTGCAACTCACCTTGCTCATTAAAATTAATAGCCGTGGAATATATTTATACTTCAAAGCAGTCACGAAGAAGGTTCCCACTAAATATATGCATTTATTATTAAATCAAGTTTGAAATAACTGTAACCAAACATGAACAATTATTTTAAGCAAGCAAAACAATAAAAACGTGTTTCAATGATTCCAATTTGAGGTTGAAAAAAATTCATTCGAAAATACATGGTCATACGTTTTCTCATTTCAATGCTACGAGTGGTATGTATTTACAAATAATCTCCTCGAATTAAATAATACATCCTCATATGATTTTTTCAAAGAAAAAAAAAGGAAAATTAAAATCTTTTTTTTTCATACAAGAAAATTTAATCTGAATTTTCAGTAGTACTATCTCTAAATTTGAAATTTTTTCATTAAAGACTAAGTTTGCAATGGAGATTTCGACCACTTTCCTACTAGCTAGAGGGCTTTAATTGCAACAAGAGCTCTGTGCCAGATAAAAATACATATTTCAAACACTCTTTGACATGAACAAGATAAAAAATAAACGCTTAACGAAAGGGATTAAAAAATTTTTTTTTGATACATATATTGTCTATCAATTGGACTGAAAAGGAAAGATATAAATTAAAATTTTGTGCTACCGTAAGATAAAAAGCTACTATAACCATGACCTCCACGTTTTTTTCTTCTTTTTTTTTGTGGCAGAAATTTTTTTGATTCCTTTTTAGTCTATTTGAAAAATGGTTTTCAGAACTTTATTTCGCAGTGCTTCAGTTTAAGTTAAAACAGGGGTCTGTTTAGAAGAAATTTGGGTCCGTTAACGGACCCTTCACAAAATATCTTTTCATAAAAACGGACCCTTCACAAAATATTTTAACTTAAAAACGGACCCTTCACAAAATGATTTTTCTTTTAATCGGACCCTTCACAAATTTGTTTATCTTCATTATTATTTTGTTAATCGAATAAACCCTTTCCAGGGCAGAAAACAAGAAAGATGGATGTAAACGAATTAAGTTTTGTCTTCGGCAGACGATTCTTCCATTATTCGTCCGAAATTAATATTCTGCGTTCAGCAGTATAGGCTAAATACCAAATATTTGTATGTTGCATCTCTAATTTAGAAGCAGCAATTGTTGTTTATTTTTTAAAATTTAATTTTTTTAATTATAATTTTACAGTGTTGAGCATAATCTTGTATGTCTATAAAATTTAAAAACTCCTTGAAAATTTTTTTTTTGCAATAACGGACCCTATTTGCACAAATTCATAAAAGCGGACCCTGGTTGAAAGAATGTGAGTAATTTTTTCACACTTTCACGAAAAACGGACCTTTCACAAAATGTCTGGGCAGACCCCTGGTTAAAAGGTTCGTGAATATAGTTTACAATTTTTTAAATATTTTATCACAATTGCCCAAATAAATATAGGTGTTTAACTTTTTTTATGCAATTTTAAATAACTTCCCAAACGTAGGACTTCTTTTATGTATGCTTCAAAAATCTTCTTTCAATGTAAAACTAGTGAAAGAGATATTTGTATGCATTTGTACATGGTAATCTTCTTTCACGTAATGCAGCACGAAATATTTATAATTTTTTAGATAAATACTGGATGCTGAGAAACTTTCCTGTAGGAAAAATCATTTTTGACATTATCTATAAATAATAATAATAATAAAGATCTTTTTAAGAAACAATAATTTCGAAATCAAAATATTTTATAATTTTTAGACCCTTTTCATAAAAAATTTGAAACTTAAGACAGATTATATAAAAAAAACAGTCCTGAAAGGAAAGGCGATAATTATCGAATTCAGTTTAAAAGATACAATTATAAGCAGCAATGTACAATATGTACATACATAACTAACAGTTATATTTGATTTCAGATAATAAAAGTACCAACATGCAATATCCAAATTTTACGAAATAATGTAAACGGCATGCGTAATACTTAAAACATATGAATTTCCAATTGATCAACATTAAATTAACTTGGATATAGATTGTTTAAATTATTTTTTTTATTCATATGTAGATTGTTAATGTATTTTTTCATTCATCATTTTTTTTTAAATGAGAGGGTTGAGAAAAAAGGAAATTTTAGAATTCTGAAGAAATTTTTTTTTTTTTTTAATCTGATTATTTCAAATTGGGCTTATTTCATTATTTAGTAAGTATGTAAATACTCAAGCAAACAATGAATAGAGTAAAAAAAATCTATCTTATCATGTCTACGGGAAAATTCAGTCGAGTTGCAGCTATGGTATTAGAAGACAAATGTATATGTGTTTATCATTAAAAAAAAAAATGATGAAAAGAAATGATTTATTTGAACAGATTTACACACATTTAGAGAAAAAGTTTAATACATAACTTTAGAGAAAAAAATTATAGTGATACAAAATCGTGTACAAATGTATCAATTAACAGGATATCTATTATCAATCCATTACAGCGACCATAACGATACTATCACCCTTAATGAATATTTTCTCGATATGTCGCTTCGCCAAGATTTCTTTGCCTTTTTTCCTCTTGTTGAGTATCTTTTTCTTCTTGCCAGCGGTAATAACTGTATCAATCTTTGCACCGGTGTCATCAGAAGGAGCATTTCCTTGAGTTTTTTTCTTGGGAATATTTTTCGGTATTTCGGAAAAGCGTTCTCCATCACGCATATTGCACAGGAACGGAGTTTTCGATTTCGTTTTTTTGAAATAAGCTTCATCCACGTCTTCCATTACGAGGTTCCAATGTTTGTCGAATGCAACAACATATCCAGTGCAGATGCCTCTTACTTTTTCGAAATTTCTTGTCCACACCTATTTTTTTAAAAAAAAAAATAGATGATATTAATAGTTTAATAAAATCAGTTATCTTTTTTAAAACATGACCTTTTCTACTGGGAACTCTTAATCACATAAAAAAATGTTTATATAGATAACAATAAGTTGTAAGCAAAAATTACATGTTAGTAACTGTTTGAACCAAAATTAATAAGCTTTTAAATAAAACAAAGTTAATCGAACATTACTCGCAATATCTTGATGGGGACTTAGAACCATCAGAAGCTTTTGAACAAATTACAGGGTTCTTCTAAAAGATGAATCCAATTGAATCAATTTGTATTTCACGCAATATAAATTAGATTATTCTTTCCATATTCTTTCGGACGAAGAAACGAGAAAGTTATGTTCACCACAGCTTGGGAGGTGACAGTTGAGTGAACATGTAGATAAATTGGTTGTGGGACGACTAAGCGTAACTCGTGTTTTAAAACTTACGATACTCCATCTTTCTATTAGCAAGCACATTGATCATTTATTTGATCAAGTTATTTAGATTTGAATATTTTTTTTTAAATAATCTTTTAGGCGTACCTGCTAAAGCTGGATTCGTATCGTACTTTTTCCAAGTGTTCTTATTTCCAAAAAATCTTTTAGAACTTAATATTTGAACCTACTAGTATGTTTAGCAATTATGATTTTAAATTAAAGAATAACACATTTTCAAATGCTTTCAGTTGAACAAACAAATGAGTGATTTAAACGTTTTTTTAATTAGTCCATTATACTAAATAAATAGTGCTCTCTATCAGGCATCCCAAATCCTAGTAAAGCCGGGTAATATAGCAACCATGATAAAGATATTTTAGCTTTCTATAAAATGCTATTTAAAATATTAATTTTAACTTCCAATTGACCTTTAGATATCTTTTTGTATGAGTTTCTAAAGGCTTAATGAAGTACTGTTGTTGTTAGAGGCACCAGTAAAAAGAATGCACGAGACAAAAAAAAAAGAAAAAAAAAAGCTACTGAAATGTAGGAGTTTAGAGTTGTTTAACTTTGTAGTTGTTAACACAAACTATTTAAAGTTGTTGCACCCTTACGCGGTTTAAAATTGTCTCACATCATGCTTTGTTCATCGCACTAAACGAATCCACAACACTTAACGAGTGTCGATGGTTATTTACACTTTATAACAAAAAAAATCGACGCACCAAGAAGCAAATCATCATCCGATTGCTTTGAAATTTCGTATGCATGAATGTTTTGGCTCGATCAGGCTGGAATGATGCCGACTGGGGACGTATAGTCTTTAGCGACGAATCCCGCTTCCAACTGTGTCCTGACGATCATCGAAGACGTGTTTGGAGACGCACAGGGCAGAGGGGGGATCCTGCCTTCACTATTGCACGCCACACCGGCCCTCAACAAGGCATTATGGTCTGGGGTGCCATTTCCTTTGACAGCCGGACCCCTTTGGTCGTCATTAGAGGTACACTTACTGCACAGCGGTACGTCGACGACATCCTAAGACCTGTTTTGCTACCGTTCCTTTTGCAGCGCCCTGGGCTGGTTTTTCAGCAGGACAATGCCAGACCACATACGGCACGTGTTGCTATGAACTGTCTGCAAGCTTGTCAAACTCTTCCTTGGCCTGCCAGATCACCAGATCTCTCTCCCATCGAGCATGTCTGGGATATGATGGGAAGGCGATTGCATCTGGCACGGAATGTTGATGACCTCGTTCGACAATTGGATCGAATTTGGCAGGAAATACCGCAAGAGACCATCCGGGAGCTTTATCGGTCTATGCCACGCCGTGTGGCAGCTTGTATCCAGGCTAGAGGCGGGTCAACACCTTATTGAACTTGTTACTGTAACTCTGCAATAAATTATCCGATTGTTCTGAAATTTTAATCATTTACTATTCTGTACATTGTCTACCTCTCCACCAATTTTCGTTTCAATCGGACAACTCCTTCTTCGTGCGTCGATTTTTTTGTTATAGAGTGTATTTTTCTTTATTTGAATATCGGCATTTATATTGTTGATATTTACAAAACATATTGTTTGGTGTTGAATTACCGTTTGGCGAGATTGTATGGCGCCAGCCATCTATCATCGTAATGTAACCCTTTGAACTATTCACTCTTGTGCTTGTTGATTAAATTGTAAAGAGCGTATGGTCGCTCTCTAATGCAAGTTCATGCATGAACTAATTAATTACATTTGTTGAATAAATATTTATTAATTATTACATACAGTAGCATTACCTTCAATCTTAACTATTGAGCTATCACGGGACCGTACACATATTGTTACGAATATGATCTTACAAAGTACAAATAAAGAACATAATTACATATGAATTGCATTAACTATATTTAGTATTCATCATTTAAGTTACATTAGTTATATTCACATTTCACATATATGTTCCCTAGTTGCACTTATAATCTGTTTTCTGCAGGTATTTTCAAAATTTTTTTCTGTAGAATTACATTCAAAAGATGCCTTTCTCAGTATTCTGAGGGGAAAGAAATGCTCCTGATTTTTTTATTCTCATTTGAGAATAAAATAAATAAATAATTCGACAATCAATAGCTTCAGCTGGAATTTCATTTCAAGTAGATAATATAAATATATATAATTTATAGATACATAGATTAAAAAAAAATCGGAAATCATTTAAGTTTAAATGATAGTTTGCTCTAGAAATTATGTTCCTTCTTTCATTTTTTATTTTAAAGAACGACGCCATGTTTTATATTTTAATAAAATATGACTGTGAGTGGAGATTTTGTTACTAATTCAGATTTGTAGCAAAAGAAATAATTAATCAATGCGGTACATCATTTGTCTCTCTTTTTTTTTTCAGTTTGATTGAAATAAAATCGATCCAATATTCTTATGCTACGTATATCCAATATTTTTATGCTACGTACAATATTTTTATGCCGAATATCGCATAGTAAAATTTTTAAACAGCAATTTTTTTTAAAAAATTATTAATAAAATATTATTTTTATATAGAAATAAATTGAATCATAATTGAAAAATTAACAAATCTTATCTGTCTATTAATATGGGGTAAAAGGAAAAAAACTTTAATGGAAATCTTTAAGATAATATAATTAAAAATATTTAAGATAAAAAAAAACTGACTTTAATTTTGAAGATAAGCAATTTAGTTTTCCAATAACCGTATTTTCAAGAAAAAGTGAAGATTAAAGTTTAATATAAACCTTTTTAATTGCTGCGTCATAATAAAATTTTTAAGTTTTTTGAAAAGGAAAAAGCTAGGTAGAAAACAAAATAAAAATCGTTCTTAATTAAACAAGAGATTTAACACGAAAATTTTCGCACTGCTTTATTTTTTTTAAAAAACGCAACCATAAAAAAATAATGTTCATTAGAAACGCTCTTGAAAAAATGCTGTCATAATAAATATTCTGATAAAAAGAAAAGTTAATAAAATTTTTTTTTCTTAGTTCTGAAATATATCTTAAACGTTGAGAATCAGTTATCTGTTTTACTTACAATAAAAAAGAGACGATAAAAGAAAAAAAGTGTATTAGAAACGCACCGTTAACATGCTTCGCTTAGTTATAACAGAAAAACAAAAATAAATGAAAAAATACTTACAAATTTTTACAACATTAATTGTTGAAAAAAAAATTTGAGGAAATTGACTTGACTGAATATAATTAAAAAAGAAAAAAAGCATTGCAGAACTCATGTTTCAGTATAAAGTGATCTGGTTTCCATTCTTCAAATTTCGCTTTTCCAGGTGTTTTTCAGAACATAAATTAACAAGTTTCAGAACTTAACAAATATGTGTAAAAACTATTTCCTACAGTAAATAGTAAAAAATTCGATTTTAGATTATTCTTTGTTTAAATCCATTAAATTTTCTCCAAAAAAAAAAAACTTTATCAAAATATCCAAATAATACTTAGCCGAACATTCGGCGAAAAGGGCCGAATATTGTTACATCCCTAATTATTACTACTATTCTCGTGATATTAAGAAAATAAATTAATCCTCAGTTATTTTATTTTATAACCGTCATTGAACAGCCGACCCAATTTTTGGGATTACGACTACTAATGTTCAACTCCGTAGCCTTGTAATTTTGAACCCAATCCAGAAGACAAGGGCACTCCTGGATCAAGTATTGGGAGAAATTTGCCTTCGTGGTGGACTTTTTGATGGAACTAACCCGCATTTGCGTTACATGGAGAGGAAGACCACGAGAACCTCCCACGGTTAGCCTAACAGTAAGGGGACTCCATACCTGCCAACTCTTCCGGGTTTTCCGGAAGATTTTATTTTCATATTTAAAGTGGTAGTAAATATATACTATTTTTTCTTTTATAAACTTAATTTTTAAATGATTTTGATCACCACTATTCTTACAAAAATTAAGCACATATATTAATGTGCGTTACTATCATGGTTGCCATCTGAAGTTATCGCAAATACAACATATTTGTTTGCTTAAAATTGAAGTTTTAATTCCATTTTAATACCACTGGGAAAAATGAAAGGGATTAAAAGTTGGCAGGTATGGGACTCTAACCCATGATCCGTCTACCACTGAGGATATTTAACAATCCTCAGTTATTACTGGTGCTACCGATTTCCACGTGGTTTTTAAAATTCCGGTTATGTCTCAGTTGATATTATTTCTACACGATCATAATTTGAATCGCGCAATTAACTAATCACTTTTTGACGCGCTCAATTTACGCCGATAGTATCATAAATTCATGTTGTGTTTCGATTGTATTTAAGGCAGTTATTGATTTTCACGCGGTTTTACATTTCAGACAAAATGGGAAATTCGAATCGCGCATTTGAGTATTTACTTTTTCAACGCAATGATTCTATCCATATTTAGGCTGTTATTGCTGTTGACCTCCACTTTTTTTAAAATCCAATCTTTTTAATACGATATTATTTATTACAACAACTAAATCTCGAAATGAAACACGCATTTGAGTAATCCCTTTTTGAAGATTCGCGTGATTTCGTCGTCGATTTCTTTTCATCGGTAGTTACTGCTACTGATTTCACAACTTTTATATTTATAAGCATACAAGTTCAAAAATACAGTATTTAAAATTTAACAAATTACACCCATTTTTACACCAAGGAAAAATAGTCTTAAAAGTAATATTAGTTTTATGTAATAAACTGAGATAATTTTTTATGTAACTTCAATTCCAAAAGCATTTTAATAAATTATTTTCTTTCAAAAATGAGATATATGAAAGAATAAAGGGATAAATGAGAGAATAAGTACCTTAATCTTTCTATTCTCCAGACACTTAGTTAGAGCACCCAATGGAGTACCGACGAACTTCTTTGACATTCTTTGAAGCACATTGGTATTTTCATCATCATCATCCTTGGTTGTTTCAAAGACCTAAAATAACAAACTTGTTTATAAACAATAGCAGAACTTTAATAGCTTAGTAAAAATAAGATTTCGCCTGAAAAGAATTTACGGAGAGATGGAATCTGTTTCTATCATATAGAGTAGTGTTCCCCAACCTTTTTATCACCGCGAACCTGTTAACGTTTGATAATTTTACCGCGGCATGCTGGGGGGAAGGGACGTTGATTGTTTATATTTTAGATAATTTTGATTTATTAATTTTAATTTAATTGTATTTAAACATGCCTTTAAAATAAAATACAGTTACAATAAAAAATAAATATAAAGTGATTTAACATTTTAACTTTCTAGAACGTTAAATCAATAAGAATCCTGAGCTTGTTTCTTTGTAATGAGACGGTTCCATCTGGGGATAATCGGAGACAATTGATACATTACCAGGGGTCTGTCCAGACATTTTGTGAAAGGTCCGTTTTTCGTGAAATTGGGAAAAAATTACTCACATTCTTTCAACCAGGGTCCGCTTTTATGAAAATAGGGTCCGGTTATTGCAAAAAACTTTTTCAAGGAGTTTTTAAATTGTAAAGACATACAAGATTATGCTCAGCACTGTAAAATTATAATAAAAAAATTAAATTTTCAAAAATAAACAGCGATTGCAGCTTCTAAATTAAAGATGATGCAACATGCAAATATTTGGTATTTAGCCTATACTGCTGAACGCAGAATATTCATTTCGGACGAATAATGGAAGAATCGTCTGCCGAAGACGAAACTTAATTCGTTTTCATCCATCTTTCTTGTTTTCCCCCCTGGAAAGGATTTATTCGATTAACAAAACAATAATGAAGATAAACAAATTTGTGAAGGGTCCGATTAAAAGAAAAATCATTTTGTGAAGGGTCCGTTTTTATGGAAAGATATTTTGTGAAGGGTCCGTTAACGGACCCAAATTTCTTCTAAACAGACCCCTGATTACAAACATTAAAAAATTTATGTCACTACCTCCGGGGGACGCTTTTTTTAAATAAATAAAATTTTAATGGAACACAGATATTTTTAATTTGGGGTATAAACCTAGGAATTTAAATTTAGTTTCAATGAAATGGGCGGTCCGGTACCATTTGAACCACGACCGGTAGTCAGTGGACCGGGGGTTGGGGAACACTGATATAGAGCAATGATAGTAGGTTCTCTCCTTCTCCCTCCCACACATAAGTCCCCCCCCCTTTTTTTTTTCTTAGGAGAAAGAAATATGTCGTTGAGATGTATTCTTTTTTCAGGTAGATAAGTGCTCTGCGTTTTTAAAGGAAGCAGGAATGCTTAGAGCCTCAGGAGTGTTGATATTTGTGGGGCATTTAAATATTGGAATATTATTCAACAAGACTTTGTAAAATTAAAAGTTATTTTAGAACAGCATATGTATTAACTTTAGCTTTTAATGTAATTGTTCATTTTTACAAAATTAAGAAAATTCTAATTTTTGATTAGTTTTTAAAATGTAGCTTGTGATAAAACTTATTAGAATTTGATTTTTGGTTCTCAGTAATAAGACTCGAATTACCTTGATACATTTATTTCATAATAGCAGTACATATAATAATGTTTTATTGATATAATGATGCTGAAGTATGGTTTTAAAAAATTCGTTGACATTTTAATACAGCATAGATTTTATAATAGTATAAAATTTTGTAAAATGAATATTTTTCCGGTATTTGAAATTTTTTAAAAACATGTATAAGAAATGATTTAAGGCATGTGAAAGAGAAATTGAGAATAAAAAGGTATGCTATGAATTTTTTTTTTGCATGAAATATTGTAATTAAAAAATCGGTCAACGGTTTTTTTATATTTTAATTTTTCTGTTTCACTCACGTCTACGGTCTCGTTTTTCCTCTAGTTTTGTTTTTCACCTTTTTTTCCATTTTTCGTTGACATCTTAAATGTTTCAGATCAATTTTTGTTTTCCACATTCACGTTTGACAAGTTTAGAGAATGGGCCGCTATTTTTAAGCGCTTGAAACACATCCACTTTCATTACCATAATTTATTTTGAAGTCAATGAAGTTTTTAGTTGTGTTAAGTACATATTTCCGCTTCAGTTTCTTAGGATTATTTAATTTAAAGGATTTGAATAATATCGAAACGAAAACGTGTTTAATGCGCAGCTCATTATTTTTGTACCTAAGTAATTTAGAAGATGATCCCTCAATTTATAATTTTAAAATTCCATGACGTGATTAATGAATTATTAATTGGAATCCATCATTTTAAAAACCAGATGAGAGAAACCAATAAGTATATGTAAAATTACTTAACTCCACTTTATAAGATTTGATACTACACATGCTAAAAGTAAATAAACGTAACCCTGAATTCACCACCTTAAGCATTTCATAATGTAAAATTGTCAATTGACTTTTCTCTTTCTTTAAGTATCTGAATATTTTGAAATTCAATTTCTCAGGGACTACTCAATCGATTTTGCTCTATTTTTGTATTTTACCTTGTTAAATTTATGTACCTTACAATTCAAAATTTGTTCGATGATTCTTAAATAAAATAATATTTACTAAAAGTTATTTTTTGCATGTAATTATCTTTGGATATACGAATTTAATAATTGATTGTATAACTTTTTCAATTTGCTTAAGTTCTCAAGACATAGCGAAATATGTAAACAGCAAAATTAACTTTAAGTAGTCCAAACTTAAGAGCACTCCAATAAATAAACTATTGGGATCATATTTCCGAGATTGCGGCTACCCCTATATTTTGGGGGTCAGGAATCCAAGTAGGTCGTCAAAAGTAAGATATGTTTATATGGAGAAGTACGTTTTTGTGTCTGATTTCGTAACTTAAAACGTCGTCTGCACTTATTAATTAGCATATTTGAGGTCAACCCATCGAACCACTAAGATTAATTCTTAGAACATGAAAATTCGATCATCAAATCAAAAGTTATTCAGGGTGGTCCGTTTTTTTTTTTGCGTACAATAAATGTCATTTATCACAAGACAAAATATCTATCATTTGCAACAAAATATGGATATCTATAACTTCATTATTATATTGTTTCGGAACTTTTTTTTCCATCAAATATTTTGCTTAAGCCAAATATTTTCCACATAAAAAATTTAATTCATAACAATAAAAACAGGGCATCTGCTACATTTTAGATTTTCAAATCCATGATTTGTCATGACTTAACAAAGTTACTATTTGCTCCGACAAAAACGCAACAATAAATTTTAAAAAGCATTATAACATTAATTGAAATGATAAGTTTAACCAAAACTGTTATATTCTGCATCTTCATATTGATAGATTTTAAATTTACAGGGTGCGTAGACAAATCTTTCAACAAAAAATAAGTACCTTTCAAGCACTATATACATCAACAAAATGCAAAATAATTTTCAAAAACTTTAGATGATCATGATAAAATAACTAGTTTCTGACAAAGAACTCTTTTCTTGATTATATTAGCCGTTATAAAAAGATCGAGAGATTTTTCGGTTCGATATCAGAGGGTCTGAAATTGAGATTATCTTGCAAAATGCAGCAGAGTTGCACATGAGAAGGCAATAATCTCACCGAACGAAGCACAATAGACGCACATACGGACTCGCAAGTATTTCATCAAACATGTAGAATAATTGGGGCTTTCATACGCTAAGGACTGATGGTACGCCGAAATGAATTGTGAAAACGTTGAATAGAACAATGTGAAAAGCACGCTTTTGCATAATAAGTGGCGAAAATCACCATGGTAATGAAAAAAATCTCATTTTTGAGAAGGGAAAATTAAGCACTTTTTAAAAACACCCAATGAAAAAAGCACCTATAAGGGCTTTTAAATAACGAAAATAAGCATCTTTAAGCACTTTTTAAAAACGCTACGCATCATGATTTAAAAAACCGAGTAAAGAAAGAGTTGAAGCAATGAAAACGCTGAAAAAAATACAAAAGCAAATAATTTTTTTTTCTCTTTTCCCGCAGAATTATATTCTAAAGATACTTTTCTTGATCATCGGAAAGGAAAGAAATACTCCTGCAAATTTTTCTGTTCTCATTTCGGAATTAAAATAAAAAAATTTGCCAAATGACTGGTTTGCTTCAGCTAGAATTTTAAATTGATAAAATAAAAAAAATTGAAACCAGAGAAGTTTAAAACATATTTCGCTCTAGAAATGATGTTCTTTCTTTCGATATTTGAAAGAACATAGTTTTTAAAGAACACGATAAAAACATTTTATATTTTAATAAAATATGATTGTGAGTAGGGATTTTGTTACAAATTCAGATATTCGGAACACCATGAAATTGGGGGGGGGGATTCCATTTTAAAAATTAGATTTTTCGGCAACTAAATTCATGACTTTCCATGATTTTTTTTAAAAAAAATAGTTAAAATCATGACAATTCATGACTTTCCAAGTGCGCAGATAACCTGTAAAAATAACAATAAAAGTTTTATCCGTCGAATAAATGGGTGCAGTTACGTCCTTTCTCTAAATGTTTGGGGCTGAATTTATGTTAACCCTATTCAGGGCCGAATTTACTACCGTTTAGCGGTACCTTCACAAATTCAATTTTAGGCAAAACGGTAGTTTCACAAATTTAACTTTAGGAATCACAAAAAAAAAAATTTCTTAAAATTTTTTTTTTGTATCCCTTAAGAAACGACAAATCTATATTTTAACCATGTTTTTGTGTTGATTTTTTAATATAATTTTTCACAAATAATGTCTAAATTTTCACAAAATAGGTACTTTTCACAAAAACCTAGACAGACCCCTGCTATTTTATGTTAGAAATTTGGGTTTGAAGAAAAATTTCATTATTTAAAGAACTAAAAACTAAAATCACTTATAATATACTAGTTCCCTTTAGAACAATCAGTCTAAGAACTGTAAATAATAATCTATAATTAAGCAAAATATTTCTGAAAGAAAGTTTTATATTTAATCCAATCGGATTCTATACCTTTCTAAATAAAATTCAAATAATTTGTCTCAATAATAACTAAGTCGTAATATGAAGCTAAACAATTTAATATAGTGGTAATAGTAGGTGATATCACCATTAGAAAATGATATACAAATAATAAAAAAAATAGGTATTCATTTGAAATTTAATCCAAAAAAAAAAAAAAAANTTTAAACCAAAAAAAAAAAAAAAAAGAAGAAGGTATAGGTAGGAAATGAAACCCCAGTCAATAAATAGGACATACCATAGAAAAATTTCTTAGCCTTATTTTGTAAAACGAGACAGCTAATTAATTCAGATATTATTTTGCTAAAATAAGAAATGAATGGAAGATTGCTTCTTCATTTTCCTTTCCATTTACATTCGTAATTCAAATCAAAAGTCTTCAGGGGGATATTTCCGTATCGTGATCTGTCTCGCCAACTACAATCGCCAAATAGATTTTAAACTTGCAAATTTTCTTAATCAGAACTATTACTTTGATTTTCAATTATCATTGGGGGATTACATCAAATATGAATTAGTAATATATTTCTTAGAATGAAGTTATTATAAAAGTAACACTGAACCTTTCCAAAACTTTGAGGAAGATCTTGATCGCTAGAGTCAGATGGTGGCGATGAGCTACATGAAGAACTACTGGTCGCAGTTCGTTTTCCTTTATAATCTCTGCTGGGACGGTCATCTCGGCGACTACGATGCATTTTTTAAGACAAGCACTATTGGATAATTAAAAATGTTTGTGCGGAGTTCAGCGGAAAATTAAGAGGAAGAAATCTTATAAAACACTCCGAGCAAGCAAAGAACAAAGACGCTACCTGTCACCGGGGCTCTACAGTTGGTTGGGACGATTTATTCGTCGCCATCATTAAATTCTCGCCAATTTAATCGATAAAACATGGAACAGCATTTGCGCGCGAATTTATTGGAATGAATGGGTTTTGCTGCTTTAACGAACTGCACTGTATTAAATAAAATTCCAAATTTAGTTTATTAAAAAACTTGATGAAAAAATTTATATTTAATAATTTATTAATGTATATTTATTATGTTATGCCTGTTGACGAACACAAAAAATTTCGAATAGTTTATTAAAAATTTTTAAACCTATTTTTTTTTTCAAAAGCATAATCTTTTTTTTGATAAAGTTTATAAATTAAATTTTAAGTAATAAGTAAATTATTTAGAATAAAAATGTTCTGTTGAAACTTGCGAAATTTAAAAAAACTGATAATTTTTTTTTTTTACCGGCGATTTATTTTCATCCATTAACACTTTGCCGACCGAACGAACTGAGTGTAAGGTAGCCACTGCGCAATTTTTTACAGCATTAATTAACTATTGAAAAACAGATATATGTCCGCGATCGGTGGGCAAAGTGTTAATTAAAATTTTTTTTCCATCATACTTAGTAATTTGAGGGGCTATTTAATTATTTNGCTGCTTTAACGAACTGCACTGTATTAAATAAAATTCCAAATTTAGTTTATTAAAAAACTTGATGAAAAAATTTATATTTAATAATTTATTAATGTATATTTATTATGTTATGCCTGTTGACGAACACAAAAAATTTCGAATAGTTTATTAAAAATTTTTAATTTTTATACCTACTTTTTTTTTTAAAGCATAATCTTTTTTTTCATAAAGTTAATAAATTAAATTTTAAGTAATAAGTAAATTATTTAGAATAAAAATGTTCTGTTGAAACTTGCGAAATTAAAAAAAAACTGATAATTTTTTTTTTTTTTACCGGCGATTTATTTCCATCCATTAACACTTCGCCGACCGAACGAACTGAGTGTAAGGTAGCCACTGAGCAATTTTTTACAGCATTAATTAACTATTGAAAAACAGAAATATGTCCGCGATCGGTGGGCAAAGTGTTAATTAAAAAATTTTTTCATCATACTTAGTAATTTAAGGGGCTATTTAATTATTTTCAACCGTTATATATATAAATCACACATGAGAAAAATCTTTAAATATTATAAAATTACAGCTGACAAAATAATTATTAAGACAAGCATAAATAGTAATTTTATTGATTTTTTCTAAATTGTTTAAGCATAAATAGTAATTTTATTGATTTTTTCTAAATTGTTTAAGCATAAATAATCTCTTATTATTACATACTAATAACTCCCCTTTCTATTTGTGAGTGGGCAATCACAATTTCGACCACTTTTTACCTAATTAAAGCACCGTACCCGATGTCATTGCAAATTACAATAAATTTCTAGGCCAGTAGAAAAGAAGAAAAAAAATTTTCATTTTACCACCAAATTGAATTTACCGTCAATCGAAATTTCAGTCATATTCCGACCAGCTATATTGTTCGAAATTTCAACTGGAACTTTGTACCGAATGACAATAGTTATATTCTAGTGGAGGAGGTAAAATTCATTACCAATAGAAATTTTGAATATTTTTCCACATATACAACCTAACAGGTACAAAAATAAAAAGTTATAAGAATGAAACAAAAATTTGATATATTAAAATTTGACCCATCACAATTTTGACCCCCTTCAGAAGCGAGATGATATGAGAGCGAAGTCAAGCACTTCACAATAGAACGGTTTAATGAAGACCGATATCGTACACTCTCGGCCCCTTCTCAGGTTGATCAATGTGGTCATCCACCAGCTTACTGACCGCGATGCTTGATTTCGGTGATCTACTGAGAACTACGATCTTATACCATCAATCTACTGTAGGGCAAGAGGAGAAATCTTAATTTTTTTCCGACACTGAACGACAAATTTCTATCACGTAAAATGTCCCATTTATTTAGAAAGTGAAAAAGGCCTTTACATTTTAGGTCTAACAAAATTCTTCTCTTTTCTTAGGGATATTAAATAACATTTTCATTTTATCATATCAAATTTAAAAAAAAAAAAAAAACTTTTAATATTATTAAAAACATTTATAATATTGTTAAAAATACTTATAATAAACAATGTTTTATATTTTAATTTATAACCGTCGTTGAATAGCCCACCCAATTTTTGGGTTTACAACTACTAGTGTTCAACTCCGTAGCCTTGTAATTTTGAACCCAACCCAGAAGACAAGGCAACTCCTGAGAGAAGTTTTGCCTTTGTCGAGGACTTTAAATAATGAGCAATGTTGTAAGACTAGAGGTAAAATATACAAATAAATAGAAAGAAATTGATTGAAAAAGTCACTGGGCCTATTAAGACAAAAATTCAGATATAATTGACCAGATCAATTGTATCTGAATTGTATCCAGATATCAGATGAATTGAATTTTTAAGATATAATTGACCTATTGAAGATAGTGATGAAAACAGGATAACGAAATTTGACGGTTGAAGATGAAAACCGGATAATTAATACAAAACTTTTTTTTATTATTTGTAGAGTTCGAGAGATAAAATTATATTTTATCAATAAGACTTCCAGTAAAATAAATTTTGCATAGTCATATTAATAAGGTCAGGCCATATCCAAATCACAAAGAAAAGAAAATCCCCCAAAGGGATCAATACAATACACTCTCCCACATCGAGAGTTTATGTTAGCATCAATGAATATTTTACGGATGGGACTGGGAGGCCCGGAAGGACAACCCCAGTTGCCACAAATTTGAAATTGAAAGTAAATAATAAAAAAAAATACTAGTACATTTGTTCCCAACGGAGGACTCAGGAGAAGCATGGATAGGAGAAAAAAATCGAATTATCAAAATATAACATAGCCAAAACAAAGCCAACTCCGCATAATTCAATATTGGGTTTGAAAATACTTTGGTGATCACGAGTAGCCAACAAAACTGTGGGAATTATAATAACTATGTAACTGAAACATACTTGAGGTAAGAAATTAATAATAAAGAGTTATAAATAGACTTTTGTTTTCGATTAGGCGCGGCAGTGAATTAATGAGTCTACATTAGTATTGAAATAGAAGGTTAGCCGTTACATTGATCGATAAGAAAAGAATAAAATATTTTATGCTCGCTTTTATAAAGATAAACTTATTGATTTAATTTAAATATGAAACGATTAATATGATTTGAAAATAAGTTAAAGTAATTAAAGATAAAGACAATAAAATACGATTCAGACAGTGAATTCATTAGTGTCCCTTCCCTTGTCATATTTCAGAAGGGTGGCGAGGGGGGAGGTTTTCACACTGGAGATCGACTTACTTTAAATATTTTTTTGTTAACTTTAATGCAACTTTTTTCAAACATCATTGTATTCCGTTCGACTACTGTTTTTAGAAAAATTTTGTTTCTTTTAAGCTTTGCATTCATTTATTTCCTTCATTCCTGATCAGAGGCGTATCTATGGAAGGAAGCGCCTATGGCAAATCTCGCACTGGCGCCCTTCCTAAAATATTTATAATCTCTTTTTTTTGTGCGATATGAAAGAAAAGCATTGTGTGAAGTATTTAAGCCTTTTAGCAATATTGATGTAAAAAGAGTCGTGGTGACTCAGGGGATAGAGCATTCACCTTACAACGAGGTGAGCCAGGTTCGATTCCCAGCCTTGACTGCTCGACTCGATTTCCGTATCCGGCTCGCACCTACCACGGTGCTGACGTAAAGTATCCTCATTGACGGATCATTGGTTACCCTTGCGTCAGACTAACCGCGGGAGGCTTTCATGATCCTCCTCTCCATGTAACACAAATGCGGATTAGTTCAATCAAAAATGTCCTCCGCGAAGGCAAATTTCTCCAAAGTGCTTGATACAGGAGTTCCCTTGACTTCTGAATCGGGTTCAAAATTACAAGGCTACGAAGTTGAACATCAGCAGTCGCAAACTCAAACAATTGGATCGGTTGTTCAATAACGTTTATAAAATTTTCCAAAAAGATTGCAATACAATTTTTTTTAATAGATTAATAAATAAATAAAAATTAACTAAAACAATAAAATTATCTCTTTTTAATTGTAATGCATTCACGTGTGTTCGAAATCAGCATTAGTTAGAAATAAAAAAAAGTCTGCTTTATCATATTTAAAGAAGTTTCTCTTGCGTTTCTTCAACTGTCAATAACAATTCTAACAATTTGCTTAATTAAGCAACAAATACAATTAGGTAACAAAAATACGCACGCACAACAAATGTCTCTGAATTAAAGAAGAACTATAACATAACCAGATGATTACCCATTATTTTCAAAATTTAAACTGAATAAAATTAATTGTTTTTAGAAATAATCATGCTTTGCTAATACCAAAACAATAAAATCATCGAGATATAACAAATTCATTAAAGATCACAGTGTAAATAATTACGATTTGTTATGACAATTACAAATAAAATAGCTACAATCAAATTTTATAACTTCGTTAGCTTTTTATTTACAAAAAACCGATGGTCTTAATATAATTAAGTTTTACAAACATTATATAATAACCGATAATAAGAAAAAATATACATATAGTAATTAATACAGAACTCTAGACAAAATAGCGACAATAATACATTCTTTAATGAGAAATAAATTAGAGGAAGTTGACGTCTTAGTTTAAGAATATCTAGAAATAATTGATTTTTTAACAGTGAAAAAAAAAAGGCAAAAAGTTAAGAAATAGACCAAAAAAAAATCAAATTATGAAAAATTTTCTTCGCATCAGAATGGAACAAATTAGAGAAAAAGCAGAAAAAAATTAAACAGATTTGAATCACAAGTTTGTAGACGTTCGGTGCGCAAAAAAATAAATAAATAAACGGACTACCCTGATAACTTTTGATATAATAATCAGATCTTCACGTTCTTCTCATATCAATGGTTCAAGGAGGTGACTTAAAATATGCTAATTAATAAGTGCAGGGACAATATTTCAAGCTACGAAATCAGACACTAAAACGTACTTTCTCTGAATAAACATGCCAATTTTTTGACTGATTTGGATTTC